AGCGCAGAAGCTGTGAATGTAGTGAGAGTATAAGCAACTTGTGGCAGCTTCCCAAAGCGGTAGTATGCCTCTAGCAATGTCTATATGCGATGAAGAACATGTGTGCTTTAGACCTTCGTACCTTGTTTGTCAATGCATGACTGTAAAATCATGCATGGCTGATATAAAACCGCAGATCATTTGTGGTTTTCTCTGCCGTTTGCATTGGCCTGTCGTTCGTCGAGTTCAGTTTAGGCCCGTTCGCAGTCTGGCCGGTTGAACAGAAGTCGTCCCTTCTCTCTGAGGCTCCTGGGGGCACATGCTAGCGATGTCAATTTGAATGGCATGAACCACTTGAACGCTTGGAATTAGCTGACAATGCAATCACTTCGTTTTATTCGGGCCGCCGAAAGTGCTGCCCCCAGTCTTTGTGGTTCGAAGCGAGAACGGAAACGGCGCCGGTACCACAGAGGAGATGAAAATAGGGATGAAGTAGCCAGTGCAAGACAAGGTCGGCAGGACTGTCGTCGTGGGTCGGGTCACCGAGACGCTCGTGGCGGGCTCGGTCAGTGAGCTTGTACAGGCAAGTGTGAAGTCTAATAAAGACATCGGCTCTGTGGGCCAACTTGCTCTTATCGATGCTCGAACTGTGGGAAACCTTGGACGGTTACCAATTTCTGTGCAAGGAAGCTGAGCTCAAATTCAAGAACATCTGGATACCTGACCATGTTACCGCTCTATGAGTGTGCACAGGCCAGCATATGAAGTGCGCGCACAAACCCTCTAACAAAACTACAAGCTACTTTTCGCAGCATGGTGTTTTCGTTTAGATTCTCACGAATGAAAGACGAAGGCTTGATCACGAAGTCGATTGAGATCGAGTGCTGCCCGGCTTGAGGGATGAGGACAGTGGTGTGGAACGTGGAATCAAAAAAATATGCGCACATTCTATATACATACCCTCATTCTCATTCTCCGGGCGCCCGTTTCCTGATGTTCTTGATATACCAACCGTGCACTAGCGTATATCGCGCTTGCGAAAGACTTCCATGCTAGTCAACTCTGTTGAGTCTTCATGCACTCCGGAAAATTCCGGCGCTGTTGACTAGCCGAGACGAGGAGTGGCCAGGGTGAAATGGAATGCGTTGGTAGTGCCGGACTGTCCAGGGTGGTAGAGTCTTTGGTCTTCATTATGAGGGAGACTCTGACAACGATAGTACGCCGAGTCCACCTTCCTTCCGACACGAATGCCTTCAGCAATGAGCTCAACGAAATACTGACAGCAAGAAGTTGAAGTTGATCAGACACGTGAAGTTCTCCGTGTAGACAGTGCGTGTATTTCATGCCGACTGTCCAAGATACTTTTGGTTCTCTTCATGCCAGCGATTCACCTCTGGTGTTCTTGCATAGATGACTGCAATTTTCGTGCTACATCATGTCACAACCTCTCCCAACGCGTCCACAAACGCGCCGGTAATCACATCGGTGTACGCTTTTCCCGCCTGCCCCCAGCCCCATCACTTGCTCGCTGCACTTCACCCCAAACACCGTGCTGCAAGTAAACTGATACGTCCAGCTCACGTTTGGCGTCCCTAAAGTTCGTAGGTACGTTTTAACGTATCCATATGGAACTCGCCAGGTGGAGTAGAAAACGAATCAAATGGAAATGGTGTGCAGGTAGGCGTTGAAAATCACGTTGTCGGGGTGCAGCGCAGACGAGAAACTGCGCACTAAAGTTGAAAATGACAGCTCGGTGGTACGATTTCCCCCTGGGTCTTAACCGCCCTATGGAAAGGTGGATCGTCATAGAGATTGGTGGTCTGCATCTCATTCTCGTATCCTTCTAACGTTCGGAATGATTGCAGGTAACGTGCCTGCTGGCCGGACGCCCACCTAGTAACCTTAGATGTCGTTCTGATATCCTCATTGACAGCTCGTCTACGATGCGTCACGCACGAAATCCGATGAAGCGAAGAACGGGTACTAACTCGCGCGAGCATACTCAGGTCCATCCCTGAACGTTTTCATGACGAACGCTTGCTCGACCGCTCCTGAAAATGTCTCGGGATGCTCGCAGAACCGATACGTACAAGCAAGAAGGGCATGCCTTGCCAAGAACGCCTCCCTAGAAGGGGACAAGTAGTTGAGATGGATCGGATGCACTGCAACTCATACGTCGAGGACCCGATGTAGTCATACGCGTTGACCTGACCAAAGTTCACACTGGCGTTCGACACTGCTGTGTACCCAATACTCGATGTTTCGAGCGCGGTTCAGCATTCCTTCGGCCCACCCTTCGGCACGTCAACCAGCTGTCATCTCTCTGCCGACCAGTCTATCATCGGCCGTCCGGGAGGGGCGACTATGTCATTCAACGTGCTGCCTCCCCGACAATGCACACCCGTCGTTGATGACCAACAGTTTTTTTTATCGAAAATACCCTAATCCACCCTTGTCACAAGGTGTATGCGGGAGTGGATGAGCATGCTGTCGAGCCATCGTCTGCATTATCACCGTCCGCCTTTCACTAGTAATGGCTCCTTATATTGTTAATGTTTCCCTCGGACGACGTTGTCAATCCGACCACTATCCCTCTCGGCTAGCGGACACCCAAAACCCCTTGCTAAAAGGGACCAGGGAAGTCTTCCTTCCATGTTTACGCAGGCTTCTCCCTTTTGCCGATCCGTGCCCCTTGTTGTTCAGAACGCACGATGAAATCCACTAGTAATACGAAGCGTTATGCAGAGGAATTTCACAGCAAGTTACTGTCTCATATTGCAATAGTGCATCACATCGCAAGGGAAGTGTGCCTTGAGCTGTGCTTTAGCAGACTAATGCGTCGGTAATAGATATGTATATCCTCATATGGAGTCACTGCTGTACTGCAAACCCTACGATCATCATCCACTCCGCAAATTTGGATTTGACATACATAGGTGAGACTCCCACAGAGTATACCAACATGAAATTGCTACATTCAGTCGGCGCGCCGCCCTGCCGTTATATATGCACTTGTACAGCGTCAGTCAGACTATTCCTAGAGTATCACGAAATGTCAGGCGTGTATACAATGATCGTTTGCGTAACTCTTCCACCCATCCTGGTGGGATGGCACATGGTTGGGTCAGCGGAGACATCATTACCATTGGACGGAAGATACTATCACACCGCTAGGGAGCCAACTCGGAGGTCACTTAAAAAGAGATGACTGGGCTGATGAAGATGGAGGAGTGGAAGAGAGACGATGTCATGCAGCGTGGCGGCTATCACAAGATCATCAAGAGCTGTGAGCAGGCCAAGAAGGACGGCTACGGGTGGTCGTGGATCGATACCTCTGTTACAGTTGCATCGACAAGCAGAGCAGTTCGATTAATGGCCTCCGATAGTTCCGAACTTCAGAACTATCAGAGGCCATTGATTCGATGTACTGGTAGTATCAAAACGCACAGATCTGCTATGCGTACCTCCGTGACGCTGACGAGTTACCACGGCCCACTGAACCATACGATCCATACGGCGACTTACTCTGCAAGCCCGACAGTCGGCTGCGCCCAGAATGGTTTATGCGGGGCTGGACACTACAGGAACTTATCGCACCGAAGCAACTCAAATTCTTCAACAAGGACTGGGTGCCCATTGGCAACAAACGACAACTGGCACCTGTTGGAAGACATCAACGGAGTTCCATGTGAAGTTTTAAGAGATGGCCTGGGTGCGAAGCATCTCTGTTTCGCACAAAGCATGTCGTGGGCAGCTGACCGGAAGACGGAGCGTGTGGAAGATCGGTGTTTCCGCTGATGAGGTTGTTTGGGGTGAACATGCCGATGTTATGCGGAAAAAAGCATTTCAGAGGCTTCAGTTGGAAATCATCCGCGTATCCAACGATCACAGCATATTTGCATGGGATTCCTTTGGGGTGACTCAGCGGTCGGACAGTGTCCTGGCAGATGATCCAAGCAACTTTCAGGGTCGTGGCAACATCGGCATATCACGCATGGTTACCGGAAGATCTCAACCAACCCAGTACATTGGTGCAGACTTGCATGGTTGAGACAGCGTGCACACGCGGTCAGCCAGCGACTTCGTACATTCCCTGTCAGCAATGCGGGTATCCAAGTGTGCAGCGCTGAATCGTCATATATATATAGAGGTTAGTTGCGTTCGGTATCTTAATTCTCGCATCCTTTTACATCCGGAATGATTGCGGAAAGCGCGATTGCTGACGGGGCATAGTAACCGTAGATCTTGGCCCGTCCGGGCCGTCCTCGTATCTCCACTATATGTGTAGAGGCGGGTCTACGATGCGTCATGCACGAAATTCGACGAAGCGAAGAATACATAGGTACTTACTACCCAAGTCGGTCCTTAAATGTTTCCTTGACCACCCCATGAAAATGTCTCTCGGAATGCTCTCGACCTTCCGGGACGGGGTACCCGTAGAAACGATGTTGTGGCTGGAGGGTAAGAGAGCACTGGAGATAGGTGCACAGATCAGTGGGAAGGAGGATTCGGACATTAAAAGGGGAATGATCATGAAGTAAGTTGGAGTTTGGCGCGGAGTACAACATTGTTCCTCCGCTGCAGGTAACATTCATTTCTTGGGTGGAGATGTATTGAAAATGTACTAACTTCCAGTGAGAAGTACATTTCTTCAGATTGTTGTTTATACGGGCTGTTAAACACAACTGTAAGTCATAGTACGTTGAAGTAGCCGCACCGCGCCAAGACTTCGGCTAGCAAACTCCACAAAGTACTGACTTAGTCACGATGCACCACTCCAAGTTGCCCTTGTAAGGTTAAGACCTCAAGCAGGCTCTTAACTAAACCACGCCGGACTGGATGTGGGAAACGTGAGGTGGGGTGTGCTCCCAGCACACCCTAGTGATGATGTTCGATATGTAATGCTTCACCTTTGAGCGCCTGAGCACGGACTCCGGGTCAGCCACGATGACGACCGCGGTCACCGTGAATTGGCTCGCACGCAGTAAGCAGTTTGTTTCTAGCCTACGGTGAGCGTCTTCCTTATCGCTACCCGGTTTTCGGAATTCCTTGCATAAGCGGGCGCTTCTGCCCTTCGGGTCCATATATGCAGGGTTCGTAGGGGCCCCGGGTCCACATAATCGTTTCCTTGAGAACCGACCATGAACCGACCGAGTATCGGGGCATCCTCATCCAAGGAGGCCATTGCGAAGAGGGACGAAGCGCTCCTCGCTCAGCTCGGCTATAAACAAGAGTTTAAACGTGCTTTCAAGCCGTCAGAGGTGAGAGAATATTGGTTTATGTTTTTGCAAGGCGTTCGTCTGTTGGGGGCATCGAAACTAATGACAGGCATCAGGTGTTTGGCATTGCGTTCAGTATCATTGGGCTTCTTCCGTCGATTGCGTGGGTTTTTGTTGATATCTCCATTGCCATTCCACTTGCTACGGTAAAATACTGATTTTTTTTTACAGATCTGTTCTCGTCTATGCATTGTCAAATGGTGGTGCCTCTTCTATGGTGTGGGGAGTATGTCTGCACTCTGGCAGTCACTCTGTGGATAATGTAATATGCTCATCTTCATTCTCATAGTGGGTCGTAGGGAGCCTCCTCATTCTTTCCGTTGGTTTATCGATGGCCGAGTTGGGTTCCGCAGCACCTACATCCGGAGGCGTAAGTTGTTTCGTGGTACTCAGCCTCATGATGGAGCGGCACGTGTTAATGGTTGCTTGATCCAGCTCTACTATTGGGCCTACTCCCTCTCGTCTCCCCGCTGGCGGAACTTACTCTCTTGGGTTGTTGGATGTGTGTTCTGTTTTCGTGTTAACGGCGTGTTACTCATGGTCTTATCAACAGATGCGAATACGGTGGGTTCCATCGCGTCGGTCGGTAAGTTGCGTCCTCGGCTATCTTTGTGGAGCCGTCTGCAATGGCTTACCGTGATTGTGCAATTCGACGCATCCTGGCGTCTTCTGGATGTTTATTGGGGAATGATAACAAGCCTCAATTGACTGGAGCTGCGCCGTCCAAGTTGCCGCCGCTGCAAGCATCGGATCAGGGCAAACCTTTGTCGCTACCACTGGCCAGCTCTAGTCTGTCACTTTATTCGTCCTACTACTCGTGCTGGCCACTAATATTGTTATGTCAGCGGTATTTATATTGCGATACTCCTCTCGCATGCCGTTGTGTGCTGCCTTGGAACCGTTGTCCTTGCGAGACTACAATCGATCTATGTTGCGATAAACATCCTGTCAGTATCGTCATCATATCATGACGGCCGCCACTCGATCAGTGAGCAATAGTGCTAATTTGAATTGTTAAAGACTCTGCATTGCGGTTATCATCGTACTTCCGGCTGCAACACCGAAAGAGTACATCAACAGTGCTAGTTATGCCCTCGGTAACTTCACAAATTGTATCTATCCTCCTTCCTTTTATTCTTTCTGTTGTGGGCGAAAAAAAACTAACCAAGCGGCTTCTCCATTCACCAGTGAACGGTTGGCCAAACGGCTTTGCCTTTGTCCTCTCATTGGTTGCACCACTTTGGACGATATGTGCGTATTTTCCGTGTAATCCACCGTCTTCGACCAATGGTAACATGTTCGAAAGGTTCGTTTGATTGTGCTGTACACATCAGTGAGGAGGCCGCAAACGCTGCTACTGCCGTTCCATGGGCCATTGTATGTCCTTTTCCCCAACTTACTACAGGATACTAAGTACTCGATGTCAATAGGTCAGTTCCATCATTGTTGCAGGGATCCTGGGCTTGGGTGTGTATAGACCACTGCCATCATGAGAGAACCTAGTGTGTCTGACATGCAAGCTGCTCACGCTAATAGCCATCAACATTGCCCTTGTTTTCTGCATGGGCACGGATATTGAGTACACGCTCAACAGTCCTATCGGGCAGCCAATGGCCCAGATTTTTTTCAACAGCCTCGGAACGAAGGCCACGCTGGCGGTGTGGACGTTTGTAGTGATCGCGCAGTACGTATGTCCACAGTTTCGACCTCTCCACCTAACTCACCGTCTTTTCTAGGTACATGATGGGTTCTAGCATGGTAAAAATGCACCTCCGTTTTGGTGATCAGGTTTTAACGTCCTTGTCAGCTTCTCGGCGCATCCCGCCAGACCTTCGCATTCGCTCGTGACGGTGCACTTCCACTTTCGAATATCCTTTACCGCGTAAACAGCTTCACTGGCACGCCCGTCAACACGGTCTGGTTTGTCGTTTTGATGGCAGGCCTGCTGGGCTTGCTCGCATTTGCTGGCACAGGAGCCATCGACGCTATCTTTACCATGTCGAATTCGTCGCTCTACGTTGCGTATGCGATACCTATATTCGCCCGGTTCGCATTCGACAATGACTTTAAGCCGGGACCTTTCAATCTTGGCATTTTCGTGAGTCGCCGTTCTGTGAAATGCCACCGGTCCATACACTCACTGACGACGTGGATGGGTTTTCGTGTTAAGAGTTTGCCGATAGGCGTTATAGCCATTGTATTCATGTCTTTCATGATCATCGTTTTCTCCTTCCCTACGACGCCAACCACCAACGCTGCGAATATGAATTATGCAATTGTCGTCTTTGGTGGTGTAATGGTGTTGTCCCTTGTATGGTACTACTTCCCAGTGTATGGCGGCATACATTGGTTCACAGGACCTGTACCCAACATCGATGCCGATAAGAAGGATGAGACAGGTGGAATGTATGATGACTATGCGTCCAAGGAGAAAAGCGCAGAAGGGTCTGTGAAAGTAGTGAGAGTATAAGCAACTCGTGGCAGCTTCCCTAGGTGGTAGTATGTTGACACTAGTAATATCTACATGCGATGAAAAACATGTATGCTTTAGACCTTCGTACCTGGTTCGCCAATGCATGGCTGATATGAAACCGTACACCATTTGTGGTTTTCTCTGCCATTTGCAGTGGATTGGTCGTTCGAGTTCAGTTTAGGCCCGTTCACAGTCTGGCCGGTTGACCAGAAGCTGTCCCTTATGGAGGGGCCTCCCTTCTCTCTCAGGGGCTCCTTGGGGCAACTGCTGGCAATATCGATTTGAACGGTATGAACCACTCGAAGGCTTCGAATTGGCTGACAATACAATTACTTCGCTTTATTCGGGCCGCCGAGAGTGCTGTCCCCGGTCTTTGCGGTTGAAAACGAGAATGGCAACGGCACCGGAGCCAAAGAGGACGGGGAGGAAAACAAGGATATGACCTAATCACCGTGCTGCAAGCAGACCCATACGTCAAGTTTACGTTTGGAACTCTCACTCTAAAGCTCGCGAGTGCGTTTTAGCACGTGTCCATTTGGAACTTGCCAAGCGGTGTGGGAAGCAAGTCGAATGGAAATGGCGTGCAGATAGGTGTTGGAGAGTGCTTGTCGGAGTGCAGGCGCCGACTAGACGCTGTAGAAGCAACCACTTGATGGTACGACCTTCTCCTGAATATCGATCGCCCTATGAAAAGTTGGATCGCAAGAGGTTAGTGCCTACATCCGCATCTCATTCACGTGTCCTTCTAACATTCAGAACGATTACAGAAAACCCGACTGCTGGCCGGACGCTCGCCTAGCAACCTTGGATGGGTCCTGGTACACTCAACAGATGTCCGTCTACCATCCGTCACGCACGAACCCGACGAAGCGAAGAACAGGTGCCGACACGTGCGAGCATGCCCAACTCCATCCCTGAGCATTTGAATGACGATTGCTTCCCCCGCCACCCCATGAAAATGTCTGTCAGGATGCTCACACAACTGAAGTACTCTGCAAAAGCCATACAAAATTGTCGCCACAATCCGATTCATTGCAACCCATATACATTGAAGACATGAGGTAGTTGTGCGGGTTGACCTAACCAATGTTCATACCGGTTGCCGTTAGGCAAGAACATTCAGCACTATTGTGTCCCAGAAACTTGACGATACTCGACAACGGCTCAGCATTCCTTCGACCCATCCTTCGGTACGTCTACCGGCTGTTGTCTCTTCTGTGGGCCAGTCTATCATCGGCCTTCCAGGTCAGGGAACCATATTGTTCAACGAGCTGCCCCCCTTTCTAGGGCCACGTTGTCGAGTTAAACTTCACATTGCTGACATCCGCCCTTTACATGTCACAGCTCCTGATATCGATCAAGTCGTCCTTCCGTGTTTACCCAGGTTGCGCCCTTTCAGCAGGTCCGTGCACTTTATTGTTCAGAGCGCACGATGTCATTCTCCAGTAATACGAAGCATTATGCAGAGGAATTTCGCAGCAAAAACAAATTGTAACTGGGCGATATCCTTGTCATGTTACGTCTTGGATATATTCAGCATGACTTAAGCAACGACCTTTCTCATGACCGGACTCCAATTACTATTTTTCATCGCGATAATCCATCCATCGTGAGGGATGCGTACCTTGTGCCGAGGTGTGTTCATCCCGGTAACTGACCAGTGCGTTGGTAATAAATATGTATGTATATTCACGTGGGGTCTCTACCATGCTACAAACCTCACGACGACGGCCGACCCAATTTTGGATTACCATCCAGGGGACAACTTGGTGACGTGACATGCGTAGGTGGGACTCCTACATAGTGTGCCAACATCAGACCGTTGTATTCAGTTGGGGCACTAGTAATAGGGTGCCACAAAATGTCGGGGTTGTGCACAGGGGTGCGTCAGTGAACATACTATTGCAACTATTACTGAAGGGAGCGGGTGAAGCGGAGATCGAGCTCCCTGAAGTGCCTGATAAGCTGTGTAAATGTTGACATTGAGCGCCCGCCGGGTTTAGACATGCCCGTCCACAAGCTTCAAAGTTGGCACTCACATCCAACGCTGTACACCCTCGTAAGACTGTGACCAGGTCTTCCATTTGCCTGTTGCCTTACACTTGAAGCTCACCGCCTGAAAGAATACGCTGTGGGCTCTGACACCTAGAGAGTACGTGTGAAAACTAGTTGATGAGTTGAACCTTGTATTGACTCGTGAGGAAGATGAAGTTACTAGACGTGAAAGCCGTTCTCGACCGGGAAACCAACATCCAGCACGCCGATCCTGAACGTGAAGTCCTAAGGGAACTTGATGTCAAAGGCACTCGTTATGCGATACTGTCGCATCGCTGGGGCGACGAGGTCGGTTACGAAGAGATGACTGGGCTGATGAAGATGGAGGAGCATAAGAGGAACAAGGTCAGGCAGCGTGACGGCTACCAAAAGATCATCTGGAGCTGTAAGCAAGCGATGAAGGATGGCTACAAGTGGTTGTGGATTGATACCTGCTGTATCGACAAGCGGAGCAGTTCTGAACTGTCGGAGGCCATTAATTCGATGTATCGGTGGTACCAAAATGCACATGTGTGCTATGCGTACCTCAGCGATGTTGGCCACTCGGTCTTCTCTATTGAACGAGATTCCGGCAAGTTTGGAGAGCTCTATGGTTGGTCGGAATGGTTCATGCGAGGCTGGACGCTGCAGGAACTCATTGCACCTAAGCAAGTCGAATTCTTCAACAAGCACTGGACGCCTATTGGCAGCAAGCATCGCCTTGCTCCCACATTGGAGGAAATCACAGGAATTCCTTGCGAAGTTTTGACAGGTGGCTTGGCTGCGAAGCGTCTCTGTGTCGCACAAATCATGTCGTGGGCAGCTGACCGGAAGACGACACGCGTGGAAGATCGAGCATACTCGCTGATGGGGCTGTTCAAGGTTAACATGCCGATGTTGTACGGCGAGGGGGAGAAGGCATTTCAGAGGTTACAGCTGGAGATCATTCGCGTATCCAGCGATCACAGCATATTTGCATGGGATCCCTTGGGAATGATTCGGCGGTCGGGCAGTGTCCTGGCAGACGATCCGAGTGACTTCCGGTATTGTGGCAACATCAAAAAGGTGGAACCCGGTGAATTCGTCGACAGACTAATGGAGGAGACCGAAGAGAACGAACTTGGCAGCCCCTGGTACATCCGGCGTGGCTCCTCAGAGATCTCGACCAACCCAGTACACTGGTGCAGACTTGCTTGGTTGAGATGGCGTGCCCGATCGCTCAGCCAGCAATTCCGCACGTTCTCTGTCAACAATGCAGGTATCCAAGTGTGCCTTCCTGTCATTCCCCTTCCCGACTCTCCATGTCATTTCAGGGCGATACTGGCATGTGGTTATGGTTTCGGTCTGTTCACCATCGATTTGGTACTCTCTGGATCCAGCTTTGACAGGACCTTTCGCATCGCGGAAACTCCCAAGACATATCCAGCATTCAAGACACTCTATCTTACTCATCATCAGGAGGCCAATATTGTGATGCACCGAGAATTTGTACTCGACGACAAGCATAGCTCGTACCATGGATTCACGCGCTGCGGCACCTACCCACGCGAATTTACAGGGGACACTGTCACACTTTCGTCCCACACAGATGATCTCATCGTCATAGTCTACGCCAACGACGATGCTAGATCTCGATTTGCAGTGGGCCTTGGATACTGCTTCGGCAAAGGATGGGTGCACCTTGTCTATGACGAATGCGCTGTACCTCACGAGGTCAGCTGGACGCAATGGTCAGACTTTGCTAGTAGCGTATATCAGCGATTGTGGAAAGCACGCGCAGAACATGCTCGAAGTATGCCCAAACAAGAACACGACGCTGATCTCCGCAGCGACCACTTTATCAAGCATGCCCACCTTCCCCGATCAATTTGGGCCGCCAGGGTAATCTGGGGTAGGTGGGAGGCGGACAATTACAAGCTTATGATCGATATTGACCAATGTCCTGGTTGTTGTGATGGGCCACGCGGATGGACAACTACATCTGTTGGTGCTTTCTCCCTCATGTACATGCGGAGCTTATTATTTGCATCATTGTAGAGTTATTGCGGTGGCCTTGGTACGCCGGGGCTTGTGGATATGAATTGCTATTCATATTGGTTGAGACTGGATGGCCGGCGGGTCCAGTTTGATGAGTGTTCTGGTCAACGGATTGCGGTGAGTCATGCCATGCATACTCGTGCCCATCTCGAGTCTGATACAACTAGCTGGGTGATTATGGTGACTATTCAGATGGTGATTTCAAATCTGCCGGAAATATATTTGAGGATATGGGGACCCTTGGCATTGATCTCACAGACTCACATTATCGCCCTGTGGTCTGCCGTGTCTCCAGCCTCGAATGGCCAATACCTCGCATGGAGAATCCAGTTGATGTTGCTGTGGCGCATCATACTGAGGGCAATCCCCTAGCTCTGCGTCAACCAAAGGGCCTCACACTTCCTGAAAATGAACATTTTGAGCTGCTCCTGAAGGACTTAGCCATCCATCTTGCAGGAAAACATTTGGTGATATCAATTGTACAGTGTTCGGGTGTATATGGAGTTGACGGTCACAAAGAGCAAATGGATCCAAGGGACAGTGAGTTTTCTGCAACAATGGTTCCCTGCTCACCGTTGACTTGATTAGACTCAGCACTGGACACCAATAACCATTCCACAGAGCCTGGGGTTTTGACTCCGCTATGCACCATTGCGACCCCACAAGTTTGGCAAAGAGAACTGCCTTGTGTGCAGAGAAGGAAACAATTTAAGAGTATTCGGTGAGCCAGTGGAATCACTATGTGTGGTGCTACTAATGATGATATGTTTCTGGATGCAGGGAGCACTTTTACGTCCTCATGAATATGGTACAATACCTTCCCTTCTCGCACATGTATGGCCTGCACTAATAACGTCATCTATAGCATCAACCTATAGGAATCAAACCCCATCATAAGTCCGCGGTGCGTTGAACATGTTTGAATCACATAGACTAACACTTAGGATGGCAACAGAATAAGCAAAAGAAAGATGGAGCGAGCAGGTTCTTCTCAGACATGTTTGGTCTCAAGCATCTGAGAAATTATGTGCGTATTTATTTTTTCAATTCCTCGTCACGCTCATCCATTGCATGTAGATTGGCGAAATCATGTTTTTCAGAAGTCTCCCCATGGTCACAAAAAGCAAAGTTTCTGCAGACACCATGGAAGGTTGGTAGGTCACCTCAAGTATGTTCGCAAACTTACATTGCAGATTTAGAGGATAGATTACCGGCACGCCCACCAAAATTATCATGCACCAATTGGGTGATGACACGTACCCTATTTAAGGGTAGCTCTCAATCCAATGCTACGCAAGACCAGTGCCTCGAAAGTGTGCTACCTCTATTGCGCAGGCGCTGCCAAATCCTTTGTGCAAAGGATGATGCGCCGCATCGGTATGCTAATGAAAAGCCAAAATTGGAGCACGAGTTGAAGTCCATACGGCAAACTTTGAGTGCTCTCGTGAGTGCTATTATTAGCGAAAACACGTAGGGACTAATTCCAATCACAAAAAGCTGCTCGAAGATATACGAATTACTTTCTACGATGCATACTGTGAACATCAGCCCTTGTGAGTACTTTTTCTGACGTCAAGTCATTTCCTTGTTCCATGATTCGTCGCATCCTAGTACTGGGGCCACAAGTAAAGCGAGCAACATTGATTATAACAGGTCAGAACCACATCTACTAACATTCAGCAGTCCACGTCTTGAATGCAGTATGTAGGCAACTTGATATTCCTTCCACGGTTGAAGAGATAGAGGTGCTCCAAATGAAACTTGACATGACGTTTGATGATGATGAACAACGAGCACTGGAGGAGGACATCACAGGAAAGGCAAGTGCAACATCAACTTGTTACGTTTCGGTGCTTAGGATGGTCTATTCATTATAGATCTTGTGGCTTTGTTGGTGTGGGATCTGTGCGGAAGTGGACCAACTGTTACCGAAGGCAAGCCCACCCTTTTGCCTCGGCAGATATCGTTTGACGTGGTTCAGATTGTGGATCACATTCGGAGAGAAGGATATATGATGGTAAGCAGTGTCACACATTTGGACATCATCGTAACTGCCGTTAGTAGGGTTTGTCAGAGATTTCCAACATTATTTATTGTGCAGAGATCGAACCCGATGACGATCAAGTTCATTTACAGCGGTAGGCGACATCATTGGCATATCGCGTCGTTATGAATCGCTGAATACATGTTACTCTAGGATCATGCTTGATGCAGGAGCGGGGACGTCGAAACACCAATTGTGGCTTGCCGCTCGGGCTGCAGAGGAAGCCAAGTGGTCAAGTACAACTAGGGACACCCCTACTATCAACAACAACGGGTCCACTCCAGATACAAGCACTCAAACCCTCTCCCAACCAATCGCTTAGCAAACATGCATATCAGTAAGTATGTCCTTAATTTTGTCGGGATGAAGTCAACTTATTGATACGATGCAGTAACGATTGTGATGTTCACGCAAATGATGTAGCCAATACTTCGTGAGTTAGTACTGTAACGAGTTTCCTTACCCGATGTTGGAAGCAATCCAAGAAAATCCACAGCCATTTGCGTATCTAGTCCATGAAGTCCCCTTCTAAACTGACTCTCCGAGTGCAACGAACCGTTACTCTGTATGTATGTACATGAAAGTACATGTCGATCATCGGTGGACGTCGGATGACTAGACACGATGAAAAGGTATGCCTCAGACCTTCGTTCCTTGTATGTGAATCACCCGGGTGAACCTGTTCGGTCGGGTATGCGTACACAGAAATATAAGCGCTGTGCTGTACACGACGTATTTCCAAGAAAATTGACGCCACTCCATGCGTGCTCGATGAAAATGTTCATCCCAGATTCTCTAAATTAACACCTGCAGGCGAATCGAAAACGACAGTATGGAGTAACGCAGCGAACTCAAGAGCCGCACCTGGACCTTACGGATCGAGCGAACCTGGATGAGTTTGTATCCAGGTCTGTCACGACATGTTTGTGCGTATCTTCGGGACGGCAACGGATCTCACTTACCATTGTTGTGGCACATGGGCTCAGCAACTGAAAGCATCTGGTCAGCTAACCCAGACAAAGGACATACATTCGAAGAGTTGCTGCAGGAGAACCTTGTGCGTGGAAGGACTTTCGACGACGGAAACGCAAGTGTTTGTATTCATGTGAAGGAGTTGAGAAGGACACAGTATTACACTGGTGATCGCTACAGCAAGCAGGGGTAGACCCAGCGGCACTCGATTGCGACCTCCGGAACGGGGAAGTACGATGCAGGGGTTGCAGGGATGGGTGGGCAGCTTTCCAGAGCTGAGACAGATGAATAGACGGGATATGTGCAGAACCATGGTTGGCGACGGCGATAACATTAGCGTCGGGAGTGCGATAGACGAGAGAAACTGGGCCAGACTTGTCGTCTTCAAACAGAACGGTGTGCCCGTCGGGATGTGTGACATGCTTTTCAGCAACCAGCCAATCGACGAAATCGGCGACTTCAGCTATACTCGGGGGTGTGGAGGGAATTGTCGATGGATGATTCCTGTACCCAGACCAGTTGCTGCGGTCCATCCTCTAGCAAGTGCAAATGGACCACTGAAACCTCGTCAATGGAAGTCGGGCGCAACTCTCAGCACTCATCTTTGAGTGTTGTAGCTTGCAAAAAAAGCATGAAAAGTCGGATATCTCGAAGACGGAAAGGTGATCTTCGCAAGACAAGGTGGAGTGGGAGACGCTGGTGGTGCCAGACCGTCCTGAGGGGTAGAGTCTTTGGTTTGCCTACTTCATGACAATATCGTCAAAGCACTCAAAAACCAAGCTTGTTGGGGTGGCTTGTATGATGGGCCTGCGCTGACCCCATCCAATACAGTCACTTGCGCGGGTGAAAAACAGCCCAAACTTGCACGAGTGAAACCGGTAAATTCCCGATGGCCTACACATTCCACCCCATTCCGACATAAATTCCTTCAACGAAGACGAGTTGGCGAGAGATACGAAACCCTTGTTGCAGACAATGCGCGTATTTCATGCTGACTGCCCAAGATACTTACGGTGTTTTTCATGCAGCGATTCACCCCCGGTACCGTTCTTTCATAGACGACTACAATTTTCGTCCTCTATCGTGTCATGACCTCTCCCCGCGTGTCCACAAATTTGTCGTCTATCACATTGATGTACACTTTTCCCGCCTGCCCCCAACCCTGTCCACTTGCTAACCGGTCTTCACCAGACTTCACCCCAAACACCTTGCTGTAACCAAACCGATACGTCAGGCTCACGTTTGGCGTTCTCACCCTAAAGCCTGCAAGTACGTTTTAGTAAGTACATATTCGCAACTCGCCAAATGGAGTAGAAAACAAATCTAATGAACATGGTGTGCAGACAGCCGTTGAAGACCACTTGTCGGGGTGCAAGCACAGACGAGGAGCTGCACAATCCTGTTGGAAATGACTGCCTGATGATATGACTTTCTCCTGAATCTTAATCGCCCTATGGAAAGTTGGATCGTCATAGAGGTTAGTCGTCTGCATTTCATTCTCGTATTCTTCTAACATCCGGAGTGATCGCAGACAATGTGACTGCTGGTTGGTTGCTCGCCTATTAACCATGGACCGCGTCGTGATATCCTCATCAAAGGTCTAACTACGATGCGTCACGCACGAAATCCGACAAAGCGAAAATGGGGTACTGACTCACACGACCACAGCCAAGTCCATCTCTGAAAGTTTGAGTGACGAATGCTTCCTTGACCACCCCAAGAAAATGTCTCGGGATGCTCTCAGAACCAAAGTACTCTACAGAAGCTATACAACCTTGCTACCATAATACGCACGAGCGAAAGGCGCATACTTTGAGACGGATCAGATGCACTGCGACTTAAACGTTGAGGACCCGAGGTATTTTTTATACGGGTTCACTTCGCCAACGTCCATACCAGCTGTTGCTGGGAAAGGGGATTGAATACTGTTGCATACCGACACTCGATCGTACGACAATGGTTCAGCTTTCTTTCGGCACGCCTACCAGCTGTCGTCTCTCCTGTGGGCCGGTCTACCATTAACTTTCCACGACAGGAAACCATACCGTTCGACTTGTTGCCTCCTGGACAAGTCGGCCCGTCGTTAATAGGTTTTGTCACAATATCCTAATTCACCCTTGTTACGGAGAGGCATACGGGAACGAACGAGCACCTCGTCAAACCGGACTCTACATTATCGGCATCCGCTCTTCACCGATCACCATAAAGTGTCCCTCGGAAAAGGTTGCCGATCCTGTCACGATCCCTCTTAGCTGTCACAACACCCCAGAACCTCGTGGCAAGGGGAACAAGGGAAGTCGTCCCTCTGCGTTTCCCCATGTTTCTCTCTTTCACAAATCCGTGCCCTTTATTGTTCAGAGCACAAGATACCATTCGCCACTAATCCGGAAGTGTTTCACAGAGGAACTTCGCAACAAGGACAATCTGTGCCTGAGCGAACTTCTTGTCATGGCTCGTCGTATTCACATCTCCCAATTCATGATCGATGATCTTTGGCATGTCCGGTTACCGTCCCGCATCGCAACAACGTATCCCATTGCGAGGGAAGCATGCGTCGAGGCGTGTTTTAGCAGACTAATGGGTCAGTAATAGACATGCATATCCTCTGTCACTACTGTACTGCAAACCCTGCGACCTTGATCGACTCAATTTTTGGATTGCCATCCAGGAGGCAAATTGGTGACGTGACATACATGGGTAGGGCTGATACAAAATGTACTAGCATCCGACTGTCGCATTCAGTCGGGGCACTGCTCCTGGGGCTATGTATAATTCGTACGTCGTCAACCGAGAAATTTGTAGGGTACCACCCGATGTCAGATGTGCATACGACAATTGTTGTGCGTTGTTCTGCCCGTGCTACTGGGATCGCAAATGGCTCTGTCAGTGGAGATACTGGAGATTCTTAAGCGTCTCGTCGCCTCTTGTTCTCGATCAGCTGTGTAATTGCCGACATCGAGCGCCCGCCGCCACTGGGTTTAGGGTACTTCTTTCGCATGGCCATCGAACAGCCTCAAACCACCCAACATTGTACTCCCTCGTACTTAAGACCTGTGACCCATAACCAGTGCCAGTTTTTCATTTGCCTTCCGCCGTACACTCGAAGCTGATCGCGTGGAAGAGTAGCTTGTGGGCTCAGAGTATGTGTGATATCTAGTTAACATGTTGAACGTTGCGTTGACTCGTGAGGAAGATGAAATTACTAGACGTGACAGCTGTTCTCGACCGAGAAATGCACATCGAGCAGACCAACCCCAAACGTGAAGTGCTGAAGGAGCTCGACGACAAAGGTACTCGTTATGCGATTCTATCACATCGCTGGGGCGCAGAGGTCGGTTACGAAGAGATGACCGGGCTGATGAAGATGGAGAAAGGTGAGAGAGAAGAGGTCAGGCAGCGTACGGGCTACCAAAAGATCATCAAGAGCTGTGAACAAGCGAGGAAGGATGGACACGAGTGGTTGTGGGTCGATACCTGCTGCATCGACAAGCGAAGCAGTTCGGAATTATCGGAGGCGATTAATTCGATGTATCGGTGGTACCAAAACGCACAGGTCTGCTATGCATACCTCAGTGACGTTGACGAGTTACCACTGCCCACTCAGTCATTTGCCCCCAGGCTCCGCATGCCTGTCAGTTGGCAGAAACCAGAATGGTTCATGCGGGGCTGGACACTGCAGGAGCTCATCGCACCGAGGGAACTCAAATTCTTCAACAAGGACTGGGCGCCCATTGGCAACAAACGACATCTGGCAGCCGTTTTGCAGGACATCACGGGGATTCCACGTGAAGTTCTGAGAGACGGCCTGGGTGCGAAGCCTCTCAGTGTCGCACAGATCATGTCGTGGGCGGCTGGTCGGAAGACACAGCGCGTGGAAGATCGGGCGTATTCGCTGATGGGGCTGTTTGGAGTGAACATGCCAATGTTATATGGAGAGGGCGAGAAAGCATTTCAGAGGCTTCAGTTGGAAATCATCCGCACATCCAGCGACCAAAGCATATTCGCATGGAATCCATGGAAACTGCGGACTGGCAGTGTCTTGGCAGACGATCCGAGCGACTTTGGGGGTTGTGGCAGAACCGAGAAAGTGGAACCCGACGAATTTGTCGGCAGACTGATGAAGTACATTGAATGGAATAAACTTGGAAACCCCTGGTTTATCACGCGTGGTCAACGGAAGATCTCGACAAACCCAGCCCACTGGTGCAGACTTGCTTGGTTGAAGAAGCATGCCCGCTCGGTCAGCCAGCAACATCACGTGTCATTCTCTGTCAGCAACGCTGGTATCCAAGTGTACTTGCCCGTCATCCCCCTTCCCGACTCTCGAAATCATTTCAGGGCTATATTGGCATGCAGTCATGGTGGTTTCAGTTTGAATACTATCGATTTGGTATTCTCTGGATCCAGGTATCTCAGGACTTCAGCTGCATCTCTCATTTTAGAGTCGCGCATTCTCAAGACATATCCAGAGTTCAAGACACTCTATCTTACTCATCACCAAGACGCCAATCAGACACACCGCGAGTTTACACTCGACGACAAGCATGCCTCATACCATTATTTCACCTGCCGTGGCACCTACCCGCGCGAGTTTACAGGCAACACTGTCTCACTCTCGTTCCTCATAGATGATCTCGTTGTCATTGTCTATGCCAACGACGATGCCGGATTTCGCTTTGCAGTTGGTCTTGGATACTACCATGGCCAAGGATGGGTACACGTTGTCCGCGACAAGCCTGCAACTCAAGAGGACTGGACGCTCTTTGCCCGTGAAGCATATCGTCGAATGTGGGATGCACGCATGGAACATGCTCGGCGTATGCCCAAACAAGACCCTATCGATCGACGCCGCGGCAATGACCACTTCATTAAACATGCCCACCTTCCCCAATCAATCTGGGCGGCCAAGGTGGTCTGGGGTAGGTGGGAGGCGGGTAATTTTAAGATTATGGTTGATGTCGAGCAATGTCCTGGTTGCTGTGATGGGCCACATGGATGGGCAATGACACTTGTTGGTACTTCTCCTCCCACATGCACGCAGATCTGACCATTTGTGTTATCATAGAACCATTACCATGGCCTTCAGACGCCGGGGCTTATGCACGTAGCTTCCCATTCATATTCACTGAGACTGGATGGGTGGAAGGTTGAAATTGACGAGAGTTTTGATCAACGGATTGCAGTAAGTCAATACAGCATACTCATGCTTGTGTTGAGCCTGATATACCCAGCTGGGTGATTATGGTGACTATTCCGATGGCACTTTTATGCGTGTTGGCAATATTTTTGAGGATGCGGGCATCCTTAGCATCGACACCATGGGCTCAACTTATTGTCCTGTGGTCTCCCACGTGTCCAGCTTTCTCTCTCTAATGTCAAGGCATCATACGGAGAATCTGGATGATCTTGCTGTGGCATATCACTCTGGGCGCAAACACCTGGCCTTACATCAACCAAAGGGCTTCTCTCTGCCCGCTAATGATCATCTTGTGCGACTGTTGAAAGCCTTGGCCACTCGTCTTGCAGACAAGCATTTGGTGATAACAGTCGTACAATGCTCAGAATTCTATGGAGTCGATGATAATGGAGAGCGAAGGGATTCAGTGGATGGTGAGTTTCCCACAACAACCGTGCCCTGTTCGCCTTTCGACTTTATCAGACTCGGTACCAGACAGTAATAACCACCCCGCTGAGGGAGATATTTCGACTCCCCTGTGCACCATTGCAAGCCCACAAGTTTGGCGAAGAGAAATGCCTTGTGTACAGAGAAGGGAGCAATTCAAGAGTATTCGGTAGGCCTATGGAATTGCTTTGCGAAGTGGTACTGACGAGGCTGTGTTTTGGATATAGGGAGCACTTTTACGCCCTCGTGAATACGGTACCCTCGCTTCTCACACTTGGTTTCTCTATTTGATAGCATCGTCTGCAGCGCCAACCTACAGGAACCGACGCCCGACACAAGGCTGCGGTGCGTTGAATAACCCTGCGAACCACAACCACTCACTCAGGACGGCATCAGAACGGGCAACAGAAAGATGGAGCGATCAAGTTCTTCTCAGACATGTTTTGTCTCCACCATCTGAGTAATTACGTCTGTACCCTTATTTTCATTGGTTCGTCCACCTTACCTTCATCTTTGAATCCAGGTTGGCAAAATATTATTCTTTGAAAAGTTTCCCTCGATGATGGAAAGTGATTCACTCAGCGAGGTTTCTGCAGGCAATACGGAAGGTCTGTTCGCCTAACTAAGCAGGTTTGCCTGGTTTGTCTGCAGACTTACATTGCGACCTTAGAGGATGGTTTGCTAGCACACACACCAAAATTGTCGTGCGCCGACTGGGTGATGACGTGTAACCTATTTAAGGGCAGCTGGCAACCCAATGCTACGCAGGACCCACACCTTGAAGTCGTGTTGCCTGTGTTATCCAAGCGATGCCGCACTCTTTGTGCAAAGAGGGGCGCACCACGTCGGTATGCTAATGAAAAGCAAAAAGTGGAGCGCGAGTTGAAGTCCATATCGCAGACTCTGAGTGTTGATGTAGGTGTTTCTATTGGCAAAAAAGAATTAGGGCTGATTCTGACCACAAAAAGCTACTCCGACACATATGTTGTGTCTTCTTCGATGCATATTTTGAACACGGGCACTCGTGAGTAATCTTATTGCCTTAAATCGTTTCCTTTTTCTTCTATTTATTGCTTACTGGCTCCAGAACGACACGTCAAGCGAGCCGCATTGAATACGACAGGTCAGCACCATATCTACTAACATTCAGCAGTTCGTGTCTCGAACGCGATATGTACATAGGCAACTCAACATCCCTTCCATGATTGAAGAGGTAGAAGCTCTCCAAGCGAAACTCGATGCAACAGTGGATGAGGATGAGCAGCGAGCACTGGAGGAAGACGTGACAGGCAAGGCAAGGGCAAATATCAACTTGACTTGTTTCGATGCTCAGGTTAGTCTTAGATCTTGTGGCTGTGTTGGTGCGGGATATGTGCAGAAGTAGACCAACTGTTACCAAAGGCGAGTCAACCCCATTGTCTCCACAGTTGTCATTTGACATAGTTCAGGTTGTGGATTACATTCGGAGAGAGGGAAATATGAAGGTCAGCTCCTTCACATATCCGAACGTCATCGTAACCGCCGTCAACAGGGTTTACCGGAAATTTATTTTGCTATGCGTTCAACAGACCCAGGTGATGATCAAGCTCACTCGCAGCGGTAGGCGACACCATCGGCATATCACACCGTCATGAATCCATGAATCCATATTGCTCTAGGATCATGCTTGACGCAGGAGCAAGCACGTCGAAACATCAGTTGTGGCTTGCCGCTCGGGCAGCAGAGCAAGCCAAGTGGTCTTGGGATACCCCCGCTGTGGACGACCCGGGTTCTGTTCCGAGTACAAGCAATCAACCCCCCTCCGCATCAGTGGTTTAGCAAACTTGGATGTCGTGTAACCGTCACCCGAAGGGGTGGGGGTGATGATGGTAAATATGTCAGTTTAGTTTTCGATCGGACAAATTCAACTCGTTGACGAGTGATTGTAATGGTACATCAATGTATGTGCGTGATGTATGCTCTTGTACATGAAACAATCCTAGAAAGTCCAAGGGGTGATTGAAAGCACCTTCGCTGAAGCAGGGTTATTTGTATATCAGTCCGGTCCTGAAGTGACTCTCTGCGTGTAAGAAGCTATTACCCCCCGTATGTACAAGATCACTGGCGCACCTCGGACACCTAGACGGAATGAACACGCACGTTTCAGACCTTCGATCCTTCACTACGAACCATGCGGGTGAACCCGTTCGATCAGGTAAGTGTAATAAGCATAAACACATAAGTATAAGCACTGTTCCACGAGCGCTGTCCAGGACGTGTTTCCAGGAAAGCGGACACAACTCCACGGTGCTCGATATATATAGTCAATCAAGCCCCTCTAGATCCTGTATATTCACACCTTCAGGGAGATCGGAACTAGCAGCATGGAGTAACATATCACATTCAATCGACCTACTAGCGCGGAACGGAAAGAGACGTACCTGGACCTTACAGATCGAGCGGACCTGGTTCAAGTCGTATGCCGGTCTGTCGCTGAGGTCCCCTGCCATGACGCGTCTACCCATATCGCCGGAATGGTTATGCGTGTCACTTACCGCAACAGAGTCAGTTAGCCCAGACGAAGTACTGCTGCATATTTAACACCTTACTTGGTCCTGTACGTTCGGAGACTTGAGCTGCGGGGAATCCTTGTTCACGGAAGGGCTTTCCACCTGGGAAACGTGAGTGGTCAAATTCATATGGAGGGTTAGAAGGGCACGGTACTGCGCTAGATGATCGCTACAGCAGACGGTAGCGGACCCAACTGTGAGTTCAGGATTGAAATGCTGGCGACAAGCTGTGTCACTTCGGCGAGAAGATATGCAAGTGCACGCCGCCTACAAGACCAACACCAACGGTTGCAAGAAACCCAGTTGAGGAGTTTCGGGGGGAGCATGATACGCAACTATATCGGCCTGGATCATGAGAGTAATATGGACACCTCTCTCACGTAGTTCCCCCTTACGAAACATCGACGAACCCATGATTAGGAGAAAAAAGCAAAGTACAAGGATATGTCTTCGATCCCAATATATACATACTGGAACTGCGTCTTCAACCATTTAGCAGCAACCCCTAAGTCATGGGCGAACGAACGTCTAGAAGCAATACCCATCATTCTGTCTTCATTGGTTAAGTATCGATTGTCTTTGTGAATATGTTCCACAGTGATCCAATTGACGATACCTGCTGCCAGAACGTCGAAGCGGAGAGAAACGAGGGGGTCGCGAACACGAAACGGGGAGGTACGACACAGGCGATGCGTGAACAGGCGAAGCCTTCCACAAGCGAGGCAGACGGGTGGACGGAGAATATGTACAACAACAACAACAGGGTTGGCGGTGCAATAGATGAGAGAAGCTGGGCCAAGAGTCTCGTCTTCAAACAGGACGGTCTGGTCACTGCATTACACGATACGCTTCCCAGAGAGTAGCCAGTCGATGAAATCTGCAACTTCAGCTTCGTACTCGGTGGTTCTCGATGGATGATTTCTGTATCCAGACTGGTTGTTGTGGTCCGTCTCCTGGCAAATGTAAAGAGACTACTGAACCCTTGTCGACAGTGTTCGAGAGTAGCTCACAGCGAGTGAAGTCGGAGATCTTCAAAAGACTGACCACTGGTCGAATATTCCATAGACATTGTGCTCAGGACACAGTACTTGTTCAGAATTCAAGATTCATATTCATCCCTGCATTACGGCGGTACTACATAACCTCACGAAGCTCTTGGTGCAGACAGTGGGTGCATTTCACGGCCATTCTCCAAGATATTTACGGTGTTTTTCATACCAGCGATGCAACTCCCGTGTGCACTGCGTGGACAACCGCAATTTGTGGCCTCTGACATCTCCCGATGCATACACAGATGCATCATCTCTCTCCCCGATATGACATTATTAGCACCTCGCGGACTCCTTGTGCGCCTTTCCCGCCCGTTTTCAATTTTGTTCGCTGGTTTGTCATGCACTTCACTTTTACATACTATGATGCAAGCAAACCAATACGTCAAGCTCACGTTTGGCACTCTCTTCCACAGGCTTGCAGGCACGTTCTAGCACGTATCCATTCGGAACTTGCTAAGCGGAGCAGAATACAAATCGAATGGAAATGGTAGACATTGATGATTACATTGTCGTGGTGCAGACACATACGCGACACTGCTCACTCATGTTGGAAATGAACGCCCTATGGTACGGCTTTCTAATGGGTCTTAATCGCCCTACGGAGAGTTGGATCATCGTAGAGGTTAGTCGTCTGTATCTTATTCTCGTATCCTTCTAACATTCGGAACGATTGCAGACAATCAGACTGCTGGACGGACACCCGCTTAGCAACCATGGATGGCGTCCTGATATCCCTGTCACAGGCCCGTCTACGATGCGTCGCGCACGAAATCCGACGAAGCGAAGAACGGGTATTGACTGACACCCGAGCATGCCCAAGTCCATCCCTGATCGTTTGAATGACGAGCGCTTCCTTGACTACTCCATGAAATTGTCTTTCGTGATGCTCACAGGCCCGGACTATCCTGCAGAAGCCATATAAACTTGTCACCATAATTCCTACAAATGGGACGCGCAAAGCTTGTAAAGGACGCCTCTCTTGAGGGGAGAAGTAATTGAGATCGATCGGGTGCACTGCGACTCATATGTCAGGACCCAAGGTAGTTATACGTATGACCCGACGAGCATTCATACAGCTGTTGCTAGGCAAGAACATTCAACACCGTTATGCATCCGAAACTCAATTTCTCGTCAGCATTCCCGCCACCCACCCTCCGACACGTATTCTAGACGCCGTCTCTCCTACCCGCCATTCTGCCATCGGCCTTCTGGGACTGTGAACTGTATCGTTCAACGTGCTGTCTCCGCGACAACACCATCCGTCGTTGAAGACCGACAGACTTTTTGTTACAAATACCCAACCCACCCTTGTCCTGGGCGATATTTGGGAGCGAAGAGTAGATTATCGAGCTGGACCCTACATTACCTCCATCCGCCCTTCAGCAGTCACTGCTCCCGATATTGATACAGCCTCTCTGGAAAGCCGTTGTCGACCCACCACTATCGAACCAGGGTAGTTGCCCTGCCGTGTGTATGGAGCCTGCTCCCTTTCGCAGATCTGTGGACTCTATTGTCCAGAGTGCACGATGCCATTCCCAAGTCATACGAACCGTCGCACAGAGGAATCTCCCAGCAAGGACAATTTGTGCCTGGGTAAGATTCTTGTCATGTTTCGTCTTTGATGTATTCGCAACTCTCGACTGATGATCGACGATCTTTGGCATGTTCGGTTACTGTCCTGCATCGCATAAATGCATCCCATCGCGAGGGAAGCTTATCTACATACATAGATGGGATTCCTACGAAGTGTACTAACGTGAAACGGCTGGGTTCAATCAGGGTACTACTGTCACAGCCTGTGCGTCATCAGCCAAAGGATTGAAAAGGGTACCACGAGAGTCAGACAAGCAGACCATAATAGTTGTTTATGTAGTTCTCCTGCCCATGCCGGCGGGCTGGCACACGGTTAGGTTTAGGTCAGTGGAGAGACCATTGCAACTAGAGGGAATAGGTGGAACGGACACCCTGTCACTCTCATTGCCTCATGCTTTCGATAAGCTGTGTGAACGTCGACGTCGAGCGCCTGCCGGGTTTAGGATAGGTTGCCGTTGAAAGGCCTCAGCTGGCGTTCACATCTAGTGCTGTACACCATTGTAAAACCTGGTCAGCAATCAGCATCAGTCCTCGATTCACCCGTGATCCTACCCTTGAAGCTCGCCACGTGAAAGAATACCCTGTGGGCCCGGCCACCGAGAGTATGTGTGATTACTATTTGATAAGTTGAACATTGCATTGACTCGTGAAGAAGATGAGGTTACTAGACGTGAAAGCTGTTCTCGACCGGGAAGCGCACATCCAGCAGGCCGACCCCGAACGTGAAATCCTGAAGGAGCTTGACGACAAAGGCACTCGCTATGCTATACTGTCACATCGCTGGGGCGACGAGGTCGGTTACAAAGAGATGACTGGGCTGATGAAGATGGAAGAGCGGAAGAGGGACGTAGTCAGGCAACGCAACGGCTACCAAAAGATTATCAAGAGCTGCGAGTGGGCCTCGAAGGACGGCTACGACCTGTTATGGATCGATACCTGTTGCATCGACAAGCGGAGCAGTTCAGAATTATCAGAGGCCATTAATTCGATGTATCGATGGTACCAAAATGCACAGGTGTGCTATGCGTACCTCCACGACGTTGATGAGTCGGTCTTCCCTACCGAGCAAGACCGCGACAAGTTCAGCGAGTCCGACGGTTGGCCAGAGTGGTTCATGCGGGGTTGGACACTGCAAGAACTCATCGCGCCGAAGCAGGTCGAATTCTTCAACAAGGACTGGGCGCCCATTGGCAACAAACGACACCTTTCATCTACGTTGGAGTGTGTAACGGGCATTCCTTGGGAAGTTTTGAGGGATGGTCTGGGTGCGAAGCGACTCAGCGTCGCACAGATCATGTCGTGGGCCGCCGGCCGCAAGACGACGCGCGTAGAAGATCGGGCATACTCACTGATGGGATTGTTCAGGGTTAACATGCCCATGTTGTACGGCGAGGGCAAAAAGGCATTCCAGAGGCTACAACTGGAAATCATCCGCGTATCCAGCGATCATAGCATATTCGCATGGAATCCAAGTGAACCGCGGACAGGCAGTGTCCTGGCTGAGGATCCGAGCGACTTTCGGGATAGTAGCTTCATCAAAATAGTGAAACGCGAAGAATTTATTGACAACCTAATGACACTCATTGAACGGAACGCACTCTACGGCCCCTGGCACCCCCAGCATAATTCCAGAACCAACCCGATACATTGGTGCAGAATTACATGGTTGAGGTGGCGTGCCCGTGCGATCAGCCACCAACTTCGCACAATCTCTGTCACCAGTTCAGGTATCCAAGTGTGTCTGCCCGTCATCCCCTCTCGCGACTCTCCGTCTCATCTCAGAGCTATATTGCCATGGGGCTATTTCCCTTTCACCATTGATTTGGTATCCTCTGGATCCAACTTTGAGAGGACTTTTGCAACTGCTCGTCCTTTGGCCCGCCTTACCACATATCCAGAATTCAAGACACTCTATCTTACTTATCATCAAGACGCCAATGAGACACACCGAGAGTTTGCACTCGACGACGAGTATGCCTCATACCACGGATTCGCTCGCTGCGGTACCTACCCGCGCGAGTTTACAGGCGACACCGTTACACTCTCATCTCTTACAGATGATCTCATCGTTATAGTGTATGCCAATGACGACGCCAGGTCTCGCTTTGCAGTCGGCCTCGGATACTACCTCGGCCAAGGATGGGTGCACGTTGTCGATGATGGATGCTCCCCAACTCAGGACTGGATATCGTGGTCAAATTTTGCCTCTGGGGCATATCGGCGAATGTGGGGTGCACGTGCAGAACATGCTCGGAGCATGCCCAAACAAGAACACAACGATGAACGCCGTCGCAATGACCACTTCATTAAACATGTCCACCTTCCCCGATCAATCTGGGCTGCCAGGATAGTCTGGGGTAGGTGGGAGATGGACAATTTCAGGATCATGGTTGATGTCGAGCAATGTCCTGGTTGTTGTGATGGGCCACATCGATGGGCAACGACATTCGTTGGTACTTTTCCTCCCGCGTGCACGCACACCTAATCATTTGTGGTAACATAGAACGAACACTGTGGCCTTGATATGCCGGGGTTCATGGATACCAATCGCTATCCATATGAGTTGAGGCTGAATGGCTGGCGGGCTCAGTTTGCCAAGTGTTCCGGTCTACGGATTACGGTGAGTCATGTTATGCATACTATGCCTGCCGTGGACACTGATATACCCAGCTGGGTGATTATGGTGACAATTCCGATGGCAACTTCAAATGCACTGGCAATATATTTGAGGATATGCGGACCCTTGGCGACATTGATCCCACAGAATCCGTTTATCGTCCCGTGGTCCGACGTGTATCCGGCTCCGAATGGCTAATACGTCGCGCGGAGAATCGCACTGAGCTTGCTGTGGCGTATCATACTAGTACTGAGGGCAAACACCTAGTTCTGCGTCAGCCAAAGGGCCTAGGGCTTCCTACGAATGAACATTTTGAGCTACTGCTGAAAGACCTGGCCATCCGTCTTGCAGGAAAACATTTAGTGACATCGGTCATACAATGTTCAGGTTTGTACGAAATTGATAATGGCGGGGAGGTAAGGGACTCGGGTGACAGTGAGTATTCCGCGATATGCGTGTCCTGTTCTCCTTTTGACATTACCAGACTCGACACTCAACAGTGATAGCCATTCCACCGAACCTGGGATTTTGACTCCACTATATATCGTCGTAAGTCCACAAGTTTGGCAAAGAGAAATGCCTTGTGTACAGAGAAGGGAACAATTCAAAAGTATCCGGTAAACCCATGAAATCAGTATGTGAGGTGGTACTGACGAGGCTTCGTTTCGGGATGTAGGGAGCACTTTTACGACCTCATGAATATGGTGCCTTCCATTTTCGCACTTGGTTCGTCTGTACTGATGTTATCTGCAGCATCAACCTGCGGGAATCGAAGTCCGTCTCCAGTCTGTGGTGCATTGGAAAACTGTGCGAACCTCAAACATACACTTCGGATGGCATCAGAACAGGCGACGGAAAGACGGAGCGATCAAGTTCTTCTCAGACATGTTTTGTCTCCACCATCTGAGTAATTTCGTCTGTACCGATACTTTCATTGCTTCGTCCAGCTCACACTCATCATTGAATCCAGGTCGGCAAAATATTATTCTTTGAAAGGCTTCCCTCGATGATGGAAAGTGATTCACTCAGCGAGGTTTCTGCAGGCAGTGCGGAAGGTCTGTTTGCCACACTAAGCATGTTTGTCTGTAGACTTACATTGCGGCCTCAGAGGATGGGTTACTAGCACGCGCACCAAAATTGTCGTGCGCCGACTGGATGATGACGTGTAACCTATTTAAGGGCAGCTGGCAATCCAGTACTACGCTGGACCCACACCTTGAAGTCGTGTTGCCTGTGTTATGCAAGCGGTGCCACACTCTTTCTGCAAGGAGTGACGCACCACGTCGGTATGCTAATCAAATGCAAAAAGTGGAGCGCGAGTTGAAGTCCATATCGCAGACTCTGAGTGCTGATGTAGGTGTTTCCATTTGCAAAAAAGAATTGGGGGTGATTCTAACCACATAAAGCTACTCCAACACATACTTCGTGTCTTCCGCAATGCATGGTTTGGACATGCATTGTCGTGAGTAATCTTATTGCCTCAAATCGTTTCCTTTTTCTTCTATTCATCGGTTCCTGCTCCAGAGAGACATCTCAAGCGAGCTGCATTGAATATGATAGGTCAGCACCATATCTACTAGCATTCAGCAGTTCACGTCTCGAACACGATATGTAGGCAACTCGACATTCCTTCGATGATTAAAGAAGTACAGGCTCTCCAAGCGAAACTCGATGCAACGGTGGATGAGGATGAGCAGCGAGCGCTGGAGGAGGACGTCACAGGCAAGGCAAGGGTAAGATCCACTTGTCACGTTTCGATGCTCAGGATAGTCTTAGATCTTGTGGCTGTGTTGGTGTGGGATATGTGCGGAAGTCGACCAACTGTTACCAAAGGCGAGTCAACCCCATTGTCTCTACAGTTGTCATTTGACATAGTTCAGGTTGTGGATTACATTCGGAGAGAGGGAAATATGAAGGTCAGCTCCTTCACATATCCGAACGTCATCGTAACCGCCGTCAACAGGGTTTACGGGAATTTTTCTTCGCTATGCATTCAACAGACCCAGGTGATGATCAAGCTCACTCGCAGCGGTAGGCGACACCATCGGCATATCACACCGTCATGAATCCAAGAATTCATATTGCTCTAGGATCATGCTTGACGCAGGAGCCGGCACGTTGAAACATCAGTTGTGGCTTGCCGCTCGGGCAGCAGAGCAAGCCAAGTGGTCCAGGGATACCCCCGCTGTGGACGACCCGGGTTCTGTTCCGAGTACAAGCAATCAACCCCCCTCCGCATCAGTGGTTTAGCAAACTTGGATGTCGTGTAACCGTCACCCCGAAGGGGTGGGGGTGACGATGGTAAATATGTCAGTTTAGTTTTCGATCGGACAAATTCAACTCGTTGACGAGTGATTGTAATGGTACATCAATGTATGTGCGTGATGTATGCTCTTGTACATGAAACAATCCTAGAAAGTCCAAGGGGTGATTGAAAGCACCTTCGCTGAAGCAGGGTTATTTGTATATCAGTCCGGTCCTGAAGTGACTCTCTGCGTGTAAGAAGCTATTACCCCCCGTATGTACAAGATCACTGGCGCACCTCGGACACCTAGACGGAATGAACACGCACGTTTCAGACCTTCGATCCTTCACTACGAACCATGCGGGTGAACCTGTTCGATCAGGTAAGTGTAATAAGCATAAACACATAAGTATAAGCACTGTTCCACGAGCGCTGTCCAGGACGTGTTTCCAGGAAAGCGGACACAACTCCACGGTGCTCGATATATATAGTCAATCAAGCCCCTCTAGATCCTGTATATTCACACCTTCAGGGAGATCGGAACTAGCAGCATGGAGTAACATATCACATTCAATCGACCTACTAGCGCGGAACGGAAAGAGACGTACCTGGACCTTACAGATCGAGCGGACCTGATTCAAGTCGTATGCCAGTCTGTCGCCGAGGTCCCCTGCCATGACGCGTCTACCCATATCGCCGGAATGGTTATGCGTGTCACTTACCGCAACAGAGTCAGTTAGCCCAGACGAAGTACTGCTGCATATTTAACACCTTACTTGGTCCTGTACGTTCGGAGACTTGAGCTGCGGGGAATCCTTGTTCACGGAAGGGCTTTCCACCTGGGAAACGTGAGTGGTCAAATTCATATGGAGGGTTAGAAGGGCACGGTACCGCGCTAGATGATCGCTACAGCAGACGGTAGCGGACCCAACTGTGAGTTCAGGATTGAAATGTTGGCGACAAGCTGTGTCACTTCGGCGAGAAGATATGCAAGTGCACGCCGCCTACAAGACCAACACCAACGGTTGCAAGAAACCCAGTTGAGGAGTTTCGGGGGGAGCATGAAACGCAACTATATCGGCCTGGATCATGAGAGTAATATGGACACCTCTCTCACGTAGTTCCCCCTTACGAAACATCGACGAACCCATGATTAGGAGAAAAAAGCAAAGTACAAGGATATGTGTTCGATCCCAATATATGCATACTGGAACTGCGTCTTCAACCATTCAGCAGCAACCCCTAAGTCATGGGCGAACGAACGTCTAGAAGCAATACCCATCATTCTGTCTTCATTGGTTAAGTATCGATTGTCTTTGTGAATATGTTCCACAGTGATCCAATTGACGATACCTGCTGCCAGAACGTCGAAGCGGAGGGAAACGAGGGGGTCGCGAACACGAAACGGGGAGGTACGACACAGGCGATGCGTGAACAGGCGAAGCCTTCCACAAGCGAGGCAGACGGGTGGACGGAGAATATGTACAACAACAACAACAGGGTTGGCGGTGCAATAGATGAGAGAAGCTGGGCCAAGAGTCTCGTCTTCAAACAGGACGGTCTGGTCACTGCATTACACGATACGCTTCCCAGAGAGTAGCCAGTCGATGAAATCTGCAACTTCAGCTTCGTACTCGGTGGTTCTCGATGGATGATTTCTGTATCCAGACTGGTTGTTGTGGTCCGTCTCCTGGCAAATGTAAAGAGACTACTGAACCCTTGTCGACAGTGTTCGAGAGTAGCTCACAGCCAGTGAAGTCGGAGATCTTCAAAAGACTGACCACTGGTCGAATATTCCATAGACATTGTGCTCAGGACACAGTACTTGTTCAGAATTCAAGATTCATATTCATCCCTGCATTACGGCGGTACTACATAACCTCACGAAGCTCTTGGTGTACACAGTGGGTGCATTTCACGGCCATTCTCCAAGATATTTACGGTGTTTTTCATACCAGCGATGCAACTCCCGTGTGCGCTGCGTGGACAACCGCAATTTGTGGCCTCTGACATCTCCCGATGCATACACAGATGCATCATCTCTCTCCCCGATGTGACATTGTTAGCACCTCGCGGACTCCTTGTGCGCCTTTCCCGCCCGTTTTCAATTTTGTTCACTGGTTTGTCATGCACTTCACTTTTACACACTATGGTGCAGGCAAACCAATACGTCAAGCTCACGTTTGGCACTCTCTTCCACAGGCTCGCAGGCACGTTCTAGCACGTATCCATTCGGAACTTGCTAAGCGGAGCAGAATACAACTCGAATGGAAATGGTAGACATTGATGATTACATTGTCGTGGTGCAGACACATACGCGACACTGCTCACTCATGTTGGAAATGAACGCCCTATGGTACGGCTTTCTAATGGGTCTTAATCGCCCTACGGAGAGTTAGATCATCGTAGAGGGCAGTTGTCTGTGTCTTATTCTTGTACCCTTCTAACATTTGGAACGATTGCAGACAGCCCGACTGCTGGACGGACACTCGCCCAGCAACCATAGATGGCGTCCTGATATCCCTGTCACAGGCCCGTCTACGATGCGTCGCGCACGAAATCCGACGAAGCGAAGAACGGGTACTGACTGACACCCGAGCATGCCCAAGTCCATCCCTGATGGTTTGAATGACGAACGCTTCCTTGACTACATGAAACTGTCTTTCGTGATGCTCACAGGCCCGGACTATCCTGCCGAAGCCATATAACCTTGTCACCATAATTCCTACAAATGGGACGCGCAAAGCTTGTAAAGGACGCCTCTCTTGAGGGGAGAAGTAATTGAGATCGATCGGGTGCACTGCGACTCATATGTCAGGACCCAAGGTAGTTATACGTATGACCCGACGAACATTCATACAGCTGTTGCTAGGCAAGAACATTCAACACCGTTATGCATCCGAAACTCAATTTCTCGTCAGCATTCCCGCCACCCACCCTCCGACACGTATTCTAGACGCCGTCTCTCCTACCCGCCATTCTGCCATCGGCCTTCTGGGACTGTGAACTGTATCGTTCAACGCGCTGTCTCCGCGACAACACCATCCGTCGTTGAAGACCGACAGACTTTTTGTTACAAATACCCAACCCACCCTTGTCATGGGCGATATTTGGGAGCGAAGAGTAGATTATCGAGCTAGACCCTACATTACCTCCATCCGCCTTTCAGCAGTCACTGCTCCCGATATTGATACAGCCTCTCTGGAAAGCCGTTGTCGACCCACCGCTATCGAACCAAGGTAGTTGCCCTGCCGTGTGTATGCAGCCTGCTCCCTTTCGCAGATCTGTGGACTCTATTGTCCAGAGTGCACGATGCCATTCCCAAGTCATACGAACCGTCGCACAGAGGAATCTCCCAGCAAGGACAATTTGTGCCTGGGTAAGATTCTTGTCATGTTTCGTCTTTGATGTATTCACAACTCTCGACTGATGATCGACGATCTTTGGCATGTTCGGTTACTGTCCTGCATCGCATAAATGCATCCCATCGCGAGGGAAGCTTACCTACATACATAGATGGGATTCCTACGAAGTGTACTAACGTGAAGCGGCTGGGTTCAATCGAGGTACTACTGCCACAACGTGTGTGTCATCAGCCAAAGGATTGAAAAGGGTACCACAAGAGTCAGACAAGCAGACCTTAATAGTTGTTTATGTGGTTCTTCTGCCCATGCCGGCGGGCCGGCACACAATTAGGCCAGTGGAGAGACCATTGCAACTAGAGGGAATAGGTGGAACGGACATCCTGTCACTCTCATTGTCTCGTGCTTTCGATAAGCTGTGTGAACGTCGACATCGAGCGCCCGCCGGGTTTAGGATAGATTGCCGTTGAAAGGCCTCAGAGCTGGCGTTCACACCTAGTGCTGTACACCATTGTAAAACCTGACCAGCAATCAGCATCAGTCCTCCATTCACCCGTGATCCTACACTTGAAGCTCGTCACGTCAAAGAATACCCTGTGGGCCCGGCCACCAAGAGTATGTGTGATTACTATTTGATAAGTTGAACATTGCATTGACTCGTGAAGAAGATGAGGTTACTAGACGTGAAAGCTGTTCTCGACCGGGAAACGCACATCCAGCAGGCCGACCCCGAATGTGAAATCCTGAAGGAGCTTGACGACAAAGGCACTCGCTATGCCATACTGTCACATCGCTGGGGCGACGAGGTCGGTTACGAAGAGATGACTGGGCTGATGAAGATGGAGGAGCGGAAGAGGGACGCAGTCAGGCAACGCAACGGCTACCAAAAGATCATCAAGAGCTGCGAGCAGGCCTCGAAGGACGGCTACGAGTTGTTATGGATCGATACCTGTTGCATCGACAAACGGAGCAGTTCAGAATTATCGGAGGCTATTAATTCAATGTATCGATGGTACCAAAATGCACAGGTGTGCTATGCGTACCTCCACGACGTCGATGAGTCGGCCTTCCCTACCGAGCGAGACCGCGACAAGTTCAGCGAGTCCGGCGGTTGGCCGGAGTGGTTCATGCGGGGCTGGACACTGCAAGAACTCATCGCGCCGAAGCAGGTCGAATTCTTCAACAAGGACTGGGCGCCCATTGGCAACAAACGACACCTTGCATCTACGTTGGAGCGGGTAACGGGCGTTCCTTCGGAAGTTTTGAGGGATGGTCTGAGTGCGAAGCGACTCAGCGTCGCACAGATCATGTCGTGGGCCGCCGGCCGCAAGACGACGCGCGTAGAAGATCGGGCATATTCACTGATGGGATTGTTCCGGGTTAACATGCCCATGTTGTACGGCGAGGGCAAAAAGGCATTCCAGAGGCTACAACTGGAAATCATCCGCGTATCCAGCGATCATAGCATATTCGCATGGAATCCAAGTAAACCGCGGACAGGCAGTGTCCTGGCTGAGGATCCGAGCGACTTTCGGGATAGTAGATTCATCGAAATAGTGAAACCCGACAAATTTATTGACAACCTAATGACACGCATTGAACAGAACGCACTCGACGGCCCCTGGCACCTCCAGCATAATTCCAGAACCAACCCGATACATTGGTGCAGAATTGCATGGTTGAGGTGGCGTGCCTGCGCGATCAGCCACCAACTTCGCACAATCTCTGTCACCAGTTCAGGTATCCAAGTGTGTCTGCCCGTCTTCCCCTCTCGCGACTCTCCGTCTCATCTCAGAGCTATATTGCCATGCGGCTATTTCCCTTTCACCATTGATTTGGTATCCTCTGGATCCAATTTTGAGAGGACTTTTGCAACTCCTCGTCCTTTGGCCCGCCTTACCACATATCCAGAATTCAAGACACTCTATCTTACTTATCATCAAGACGCCAATGAGACACACCGAGAGTTTGCACTCGACGACGAGTATGCCTCATACCACGGATTCGCTCGCTGCGGTACCTACCCGCGCGAGTTTACAGGCGACACCGTCACACTCTCATCTCTTACAGATGATCTCATCGTTATAGTGTATGCCAATGACGACGCCAGGTCTCGCTTTGCAGTCGGCCTCGGATACTACCTCGGCCAAGGATGGGTGCACGTTGTCTATGATGGATGCTCCCCAACTCAGGACTGGACGCCATGGTCAAAATTTGCCTCTGGGGCATATCGGCGAATGTGGGGTGCACGTGCAGAACATGCTCGGAGCATGCCCAAACAAGAACACAACGATGAACGCCGTCGCAATGACCACTTCATTAAACATGTCCACCTTCCCCGATCAATCTGGGCTGCCAGGGTAGTCTGGGGTAGGTGGGAGATGGACAATTTCAGGATCATGGTTGATGTCGAGCAATGTCCTGGTTGTTGTGATGGGCCACATCGATGGGCAACGACATTTGTTGGTACTTTTCCTCCTGCGTGCACGCAGACCTAATCATTTGTGGTAACATAGAACGAACACTGTGGCCTTGATACGCCGGGGTTCATGGATACCAATCGCTATCCATATCAGTTGACGCTGAATGGCTGGCGGGCCCAGTTTGCCAAGTGTTCCGGTCCACGGATTACGGTGAGTCATGCTATGCATACTCATGCCTGCGTCGACACTGATATAACCAGCTGGGTGATTATGGTGACAATTCCGATAGCAACTTCAAATGCACTGGCAATATATTTGAGGATATGCGGACCCTTGGCAACATTGATCCCACAGAATCCGTTTATCGTCCCGTGGTCCGACGTGTATCCGGCTTCGAATGGCCAATACGTCGCGCGGAGAATCGCACTGAGCTTGTCGTGGCGCGCCACACTAGTACTGAGGGCAAACACCTAGCTCTGCGTCAGCCAAAGGGCCTAGGGCTTCCTACGAATGAACATTTTGAGCTACTGCTGAAAGACCTGGCCATCCGTCTTGCAGGAAAGCATTTAGTGACATCGGTCATACAATGTTCAGGTTTGTACGAAATTGATAATGGCGGGGAGGCAAGGGACTCGGGTGACAGTGAGTTTTCCGCGATATGTGTGTCCTGTTCTCCTTTTGACATCTCCAGACTCGACACTCGACAGTGATAGCCATTCCACCGAACCTGGGATTTTGACTCCACTATATATCGTCGTAAGTCCACAAGTTTGGCAAAGAGAAATGCCTTGTGTACAGAGAAGGGAACAATTTAAAAGTATCCGGTAAACCAATGGAATCAGTATGTGAGGTGGTACTGACGAGGCTTCGTTTCGGGATGTAGTGAGCACTTTTACGACCTCATGAATATGGTGCCTTCCATTTTCGCACTTGGTTCGTCTGTACTGATGTTATCTGCAGCATCAACCTGCGGGAATCGAAGTCCGTCTCCAGTCTGTGGTGCATTGGAAAACTGTGCGAACCTCAAACATACACTTCGGATGGCATCAGAAACAGGCGACGGAAAGACGGAGCGATCAAGTTCTTCTCAGACATGTTTTGTCTCCACCATCTGAGTAATTACGTCTGTACCGATACTTTCATTGCTTCGTCCAGCTCACACTCATCATTGAATCCAGGTCGGCAAAATATTGTTCTTTGAAAGGCTTCCCTCGATGATGGAAAGTGATTCACTCAGCGAGGTTTCTGCAGGCAGTGCGGAAGGTCTGTTTGCCACACTAAGCATGTTTGTCTGTAGACTTACATTGCGGCCTCAGAGGATGGGTTACTAGCACGCGCACCAAATTGTCGTGCGCCGACTGGATGATGACGTGTAACCTATTTAAGGGCAGCTGGCAACCCAATGCTACGCAGGACCCACACCTTGAAGTCGTGTTGCCTGTGTTATCCAAGCGATGCCGCACTCTTTGTGCTAGAGAGGGGCGCACCACGTCGGTATGCTAATGAAAAGCAAAAAGTGGAGCGCGAGTTGAAGTCCATATCGCAGACTCTGAGTGTTGATGTAGGTGTTTCTATTGGCAAAAAAGAATTGGGGCTGATTCTAACCACATAAAGCTACTCCAACACATACATCGTGTCTTCAGAAATGCATGGTTTTGGACATGCATTGTCGTGAGTAATCTTATTGCCTCAAATCGTTTCCTTTTTCTTCTATTTATTTCTTCCTGGCTCCAGACAGGCGCATCAAGCGAGCCGCATTGAATATGACAGGTCAGTACCATATCTACTGACATTTCGCAGTTCGCATCTCAAACGCAATATGTAGGCAACTCCACCTTCCTTCCGCGATTGAAGAGGTAGAGGCTCTCCAAGTGAAACTCGATGCCACAGTGGATGAGGATGAACGACGAGCGCTGGAGGAGGACATCACAGGCAAGGCAAGGGAAAGATCCACTTGTCACGTTTCGATGCTTAGGATAGTTCTTAGATCTTGTGGCTTGTTGGTGCGGGATATGTGCAGAAGTGGGACCAACAGTTACAAAGGCGAGTCAGCCTCATTGTCTCCCAGATGTTTTTTTGACATGGTACTAGATTGTTGATACATACGGAGAGAAGGAAACGTGGAGGTCGGTTCTCATCACATCCCCGAACGTCTATCGTAACCGCCGCCAGCAGGGTTTTAGTCGAAATTGTCCTGGCTATGGATTTAATAAATCCAGGTGATGATGAAGCTCACTTGCGGCGGTAGGCAACATCATTGGCATATCACACCGTTATGAATCCAAGAATTCATATTGCTCTAGGATCATGCTTGATGCAGGAGCAGGCACGTCGAAACAAGTTATGGCTTGCCGCTCGGGCAGCAGAGCAAGCCAAGTGGTCTAGGGTACCCCCGCTGTGGACGACCCGGGTTCTGTTCCGAGTACAAGCAATCAACCCCCCTCCGCATCAGTGGTTTAGCAAACTTGGATGTCGTGTAACCGTCACCCCGAAGGGGTGGGGGTGACGATGGTAAATATGTCAGTTTAGTTTTCGATCGGACAAATTCAACTCGTTGACGAGTGATTGTAATGGTACATCAATGTATGTGCGTGATGTATGCTCTTGTACATGAAACAATCCTAGAAAGTCCAAGGGGTGATTGAAAGCACCTTCTGAAGCAGGGTTATTTGTGTATCAGCCGGTCCTGAAGTGACTCTCTGCGTGTAAGAAGCTATTACCCCCCGTATGTACAAGATCACTGGCGCACCTCGGACACCTAGACGGAATGAACACGCACGTTTCAGACCTTCGATCCTTCACTACGAACCATGCGGGTGAACCTGTTCGATCAGGTAAGTGTAATAAGCATAAACACATAAGTATAAGCACTGTTCCACGAGCGCTGTCCAGGACGTGTTTCCAGGAAAGCGGACACAACTCCACGGTGCTCGATATATATAGTCAATCAAGCCCCTCTAGATCCTGTATATTCACACCTTCAGGGAGATCGGAACTAGCAGCATGGAGTAACATATCACATTCAATCGACCTACTAGCGCGGAACGGAAAGAGACGTACCTGGACCTTACAGATCGAGCGGACCTGATTCAAGTCGTATGCCAGTCTGTCGCCGAGGTCCCCTGCCATGACGCGTCTACCCATATCGCCGGAATGGTTATGCGTGTCACTTACCGCAACAGAGTCAGTTAGCCCAGACGAAGTACTGCTGCATATTTAACACCTTACTTGGTCCTGTACGTTCGGAGACTTGAGCTGCGGGGAATCCTTGTTCACGGAAGGGCTTTCCACCTGGGAAACGTGAGTGGTCAAATTCATATGGAGGGTTAGAAGGGCACGGTACCGCGCTAGATGATCGCTACAGCAGACGGTAGCGGACCCAACTGTGAGTTCAGGATTGAAATGTTGGCGACAAGCTGTGTCACTTCGGCGAGAAGATATGCAAGTGCACGCCGCCTACAAGACCAACACCAACGGTTGCAAGAAACCCAGTTGAGGAGTTTCGGGGGGAGCATGAAACGCAACTATATCGGCCTGGATCATGAGAGTAATATGGACACCTCTCTCACGTAGTTCCCCCTTACGAAACATCGACGAACCCATGATTAGGAGAAAAAAGCAAAGTACAAGGATATGTGTTCGATCCCAATATATGCATACTGGAACTGCGTCTTCAACCATTCAGCAGCAACCCCTAAGTCATGGGCGAACGAACGTCTAGAAGCAATACCCATCATTCTGTCTTCATTGGTTAAGTATCGATTGTCTTTGTGAATATGTTCCACAGTGATCCAATTGACGATACCTGCTGCCAGAACGTCGAAGCGGAGGGAAACGAGGGGGTCGCGAACACGAAACGGGGAGGTACGACACAGGCGATGCGTGAACAGGCGAAGCCTTCCACAAGCGAGGCAGACGGGTGGACGGAGAATATGTACAACAACAACAACAGGGTTGGCGGTGCAATAGATGAGAGAAGCTGGGCCAAGAGTCTCGTCTTCAAACAGGACGGTCTGGTCACTGCATTACACGATACGCTTCCCAGAGAGTAGCCAGTCGATGAAATCTGCAACTTCAGCTTCGTACTCGGTGGTTCTCGATGGATGATTTCTGTATCCAGACTGGTTGTTGTGGTCCGTCTCCTGGCAAATGTAAAGAGACTACTGAACCCTTGTCGACAGTGTTCGAGAGTAGCTCACAGCCAGTGAAGTCGGAGATCTTCAAAAGACTGACCACTGGTCGAATATTCCATAGACATTGTGCTCAGGACACAGTACTTGTTCAGAATTCAAGATTCATATTCATCCCTGCATTACGGCGGTACTACATAACCTCACGAAGCTCTTGGTGTACACAGTGGGTGCATTTCACGGCCATTCTCCAAGATATTTACGGTGTTTTTCATACCAGCGATGCAACTCCCGTGTGCGCTGCGTGGACAACCGCAATTTGTGGCCTCTGACATCTCCCGATGCATACACAGATGCATCATCTCTCTCCCCGATGTGACATTGTTAGCACCTCGCGGACTCCTTGTGCGCCTTTCCCGCCCGTTTTCAATTTTGTTCACTGGTTTGTCATGCACTTCACTTTTACACACTATGGTGCAGGCAAACCAATACGTCAAGCTCACGTTTGGCACTCTCTTCCACAGGCTCGCAGGCACGTTCTAGCACGTATCCATTCGGAACTTGCTAAGCGGAGCAGAATACAACTCGAATGGAAATGGTAGACATTGATGATTACATTGTCGTGGTGCAGACACATACGCGACACTGCTCACTCATGTTGGAAATGAACGCCCTATGGTACGGCTTTCTAATGGGTCTTAATCGCCCTACGGAGAGTTAGATCATCGTAGAGGGCAGTTGTCTGTGTCTTATTCTTGTACCCTTCTAACATTTGGAACGATTGCAGACAGCCCGACTGCTGGACGGACACTCGCCCAGCAACCATAGATGGCGTCCTGATATCCCTGTCACAGGCCCGTCTACGATGCGTCGCGCACGAAATCCGACGAAGCGAAGAACGGGTACTGACTGACACCCGAGCATGCCCAAGTCCATCCCTGATGGTTTGAATGACGAACGCTTCCTTGACTACATGAAACTGTCTTTCGTGATGCTCACAGGCCCGGACTATCCTGCCGAAGCCATATAACCTTGTCACCATAATTCCTACAAATGGGACGCGCAAAGCTTGTAAAGGACGCCTCTCTTGAGGGGAGAAGTAATTGAGATCGATCGGGTGCACTGCGACTCATATGTCAGGACCCAAGGTAGTTATACGTATGACCCGACGAACATTCATACAGCTGTTGCTAGGCAAGAACATTCAACACCGTTATGCATCCGAAACTCAATTTCTCGTCAGCATTCCCGCCACCCACCCTCCGACACGTATTCTAGACGCCGTCTCTCCTACCCGCCATTCTGCCATCGGCCTTCTGGGACTGTGAACTGTATCGTTCAACGCGCTGTCTCCGCGACAACACCATCCGTCGTTGAAGACCGACAGACTTTTTGTTACAAATACCCAACCCACCCTTGTCATGGGCGATATTTGGGAGCGAAGAGTAGATTATCGAGCTAGACCCTACATTACCTCCATCCGCCTTTCAGCAGTCACTGCTCCCGATATTGATACAGCCTCTCTGGAAAGCCGTTGTCGACCCACCGCTATCGAACCAAGGTAGTTGCCCTGCCGTGTGTATGCAGCCTGCTCCCTTTCGCAGATCTGTGGACTCTATTGTCCAGAGTGCACGATGCCATTCCCAAGTCATACGAACCGTCGCACAGAGGAATCTCCCAGCAAGGACAATTTGTGCCTGGGTAAGATTCTTGTCATGTTTCGTCTTTGATGTATTCACAACTCTCGACTGATGATCGACGATCTTTGGCATGTTCGGTTACTGTCCTGCATCGCATAAATGCATCCCATCGCGAGGGAAGCTTACCTACATACATAGATGGGATTCCTACGAAGTGTACTAACGTGAAGCGGCTGGGTTCAATCGAGGTACTACTGCCACAACGTGTGTGTCATCAGCCAAAGGATTGAAAAGGGTACCACAAGAGTCAGACAAGCAGACCTTAATAGTTGTTTATGTGGTTCTTCTGCCCATGCCGGCGGGCCGGCACACAATTAGGCCAGTGGAGAGACCATTGCAACTAGAGGGAATAGGTGGAACGGACATCCTGTCACTCTCATTGTCTCGTGCTTTCGATAAGCTGTGTGAACGTCGACATCGAGCGCCCGCCGGGTTTAGGATAGATTGCCGTTGAAAGGCCTCAGAGCTGGCGTTCACACCTAGTGCTGTACACCATTGTAAAACCTGACCAGCAATCAGCATCAGTCCTCCATTCACCCGTGATCCTACACTTGAAGCTCGTCACGTCAAAGAATACCCTGTGGGCCCGGCCACCAAGAGTATGTGTGATTACTATTTGATAAGTTGAACATTGCATTGACTCGTGAAGAAGATGAGGTTACTAGACGTGAAAGCTGTTCTCGACCGGGAAACGCACATCCAGCAGGCCGACCCCGAATGTGAAATCCTGAAGGAGCTTGACGACAAAGGCACTCGCTATGCCATACTGTCACATCGCTGGGGCGACGAGGTCGGTTACGAAGAGATGACTGGGCTGATGAAGATGGAGGAGCGGAAGAGGGACGCAGTCAGGCAACGCAACGGCTACCAAAAGATCATCAAGAGCTGCGAGCAGGCCTCGAAGGACGGCTACGAGTTGTTATGGATCGATACCTGTTGCATCGACAAACGGAGCAGTTCAGAATTATCGGAGGCTATTAATTCAATGTATCGATGGTACCAAAATGCACAGGTGTGCTATGCGTACCTCCACGACGTCGATGAGTCGGCCTTCCCTACCGAGCGAGACCGCGACAAGTTCAGCGAGTCCGGCGGTTGGCCGGAGTGGTTCATGCGGGGCTGGACACTGCAAGAACTCATCGCGCCGAAGCAGGTCGAATTCTTCAACAAGGACTGGGCGCCCATTGGCAACAAACGACACCTTGCATCTACGTTGGAGCGGGTAACGGGCGTTCCTTCGGAAGTTTTGAGGGATGGTCTGAGTGCGAAGCGACTCAGCGTCGCACAGATCATGTCGTGGGCCGCCGGCCGCAAGACGACGCGCGTAGAAGATCGGGCATATTCACTGATGGGATTGTTCCGGGTTAACATGCCCATGTTGTACGGCGAGGGCAAAAAGGCATTCCAGAGGCTACAACTGGAAATCATCCGCGTATCCAGCGATCATAGCATATTCGCATGGAATCCAAGTAAACCGCGGACAGGCAGTGTCCTGGCTGAGGATCCGAGCGACTTTCGGGATAGTAGATTCATCGAAATAGTGAAACCCGACAAATTTATTGACAACCTAATGACACGCATTGAACAGAACGCACTCGACGGCCCCTGGCACCTCCAGCATAATTCCAGAACCAACCCGATACATTGGTGCAGAATTGCATGGTTGAGGTGGCGTGCCTGCGCGATCAGCCACCAACTTCGCACAATCTCTGTCACCAGTTCAGGTATCCAAGTGTGTCTGCCCGTCTTCCCCTCTCGCGACTCTCCGTCTCATCTCAGAGCTATATTGCCATGCGGCTATTTCCCTTTCACCATTGATTTGGTATCCTCTGGATCCAATTTTGAGAGGACTTTTGCAACTCCTCGTCCTTTGGCCCGCCTTACCACATATCCAGAATTCAAGACACTCTATCTTACTTATCATCAAGACGCCAATGAGACACACCGAGAGTTTGCACTCGACGACGAGTATGCCTCATACCACGGATTCGCTCGCTGCGGTACCTACCCGCGCGAGTTTACAGGCGACACCGTCACACTCTCATCTCTTACAGATGATCTCATCGTTATAGTGTATGCCAATGACGACGCCAGGTCTCGCTTTGCAGTCGGCCTCGGATACTACCTCGGCCAAGGATGGGTGCACGTTGTCTATGATGGATGCTCCCCAACTCAGGACTGGACGCCATGGTCAAAATTTGCCTCTGGGGCATATCGGCGAATGTGGGGTGCACGTGCAGAACATGCTCGGAGCATGCCCAAACAAGAACACAACGATGAACGCCGTCGCAATGACCACTTCATTAAACATGTCCACCTTCCCCGATCAATCTGGGCTGCCAGGGTAGTCTGGGGTAGGTGGGAGATGGACAATTTCAGGATCATGGTTGATGTCGAGCAATGTCCTGGTTGTTGTGATGGGCCACATCGATGGGCAACGACATTTGTTGGTACTTTTCCTCCTGCGTGCACGCAGACCTAATCATTTGTGGTAACATAGAACGAACACTGTGGCCTTGATACGCCGGGGTTCATGGATACCAATCGCTATCCATATCAGTTGACGCTGAATGGCTGGCGGGCCCAGTTTGCCAAGTGTTCCGGTCCACGGATTACGGTGAGTCATGCTATGCATACTCATGCCTGCGTCGACACTGATATAACCAGCTGGGTGATTATGGTGACAATTCCGATAGCAACTTCAAATGCACTGGCAATATATTTGAGGATATGCGGACCCTTGGCAACATTGATCCCACAGAATCCGTTTATCGTCCCGTGGTCCGACGTGTATCCGGCTTCGAATGGCCAATACGTCGCGCGGAGAATCGCACTGAGCTTGTCGTGGCGCGCCACACTAGTACTGAGGGCAAACACCTAGCTCTGCGTCAGCCAAAGGGCCTAGGGCTTCCTACGAATGAACATTTTGAGCTACTGCTGAAAGACCTGGCCATCCGTCTTGCAGGAAAGCATTTAGTGACATCGGTCATACAATGTTCAGGTTTGTACGAAATTGATAATGGCGGGGAGGCAAGGGACTCGGGTGACAGTGAGTTTTCCGCGATATGTGTGTCCTGTTCTCCTTTTGACATCTCCAGACTCGACACTCGACAGTGATAGCCATTCCACCGAACCTGGGATTTTGACTCCACTATATATCGTCGTAAGTCCACAAGTTTGGCAAAGAGAAATGCCTTGTGTACAGAGAAGGGAACAATTTAAAAGTATCCGGTAAACCAATGGAATCAGTATGTGAGGTGGTACTGACGAGGCTTCGTTTCGGGATGTAGTGAGCACTTTTACGACCTCATGAATATGGTGCCTTCCATTTTCGCACTTGGTTCGTCTGTACTGATGTTATCTGCAGCATCAACCTGCGGGAATCGAAGTCCGTCTCCAGTCTGTGGTGCATTGGAAAACTGTGCGAACCTCAAACATACACTTCGGATGGCATCAGAACAGGCGACGGAAAGACGGAGCGATCAAGTTCTTCTCAGACATGTTTTGTCTCCACCATCTGAGTAATTACGTCTGTACCGATACTTTCATTGCTTCGTCCAGCTCACACTCATCATTGAATCCAGGTCGGCAAAATATTGTTCTTTGAAAGGCTTCCCTCGATGATGGAAAGTGATTCACTCAGCGAGGTTTCTGCAGGCAGTGCGGAAGGTCTGTTTGCCACACTAAGCATGTTTGTCTGTAGACTTACATTGCGGCCTCAGAGGATGGGTTACTAGCACGCGCACCAAAATTGTCGTGCGCCGACTGGATGATGACGTGTAACCTATTTAAGGGCAGCTGGCAACCCAATGCTACGCAGGACCCACACCTTGAAGTCGTGTTGCCTGTGTTATCCAAGCGATGCCGCACTCTTTGTGCAGAGAGGGGCGCACCACGTCGGTATGCTAATGAAAAGCAAAAAGTGGAGCGCGAGTTGAAGTCCATATCGCAGACTCTGAGTGTTGATGTAGGTGTTTCTATTGGCAAAAAAGAATTGGGGCTGATTCTAACCACATAAAGCTACTCCAACACATACATCGTGTCTTCAGAAATGCATGGTTTGGACATGCATTGTCGTGAGTAATCTTATTGCCTCAAATCGTTTCCTTTTTCTTCTATTTATTTCTTCCTGGCTCCAGACAGGCGCATCAAGCGAGCCGCATTGAATATGACAGGTCAGTACCATATCTACTGACATTTCGCAGTTCGCATCTCAAACGCAATATGTAGGCAACTCCACCTTCCTTCCGCGATTGAAGAGGTAGAGGCTCTCCAAGTGAAACTCGATGCCACAGTGGATGAGGATGAACGACGAGCGCTGGAGGAGGACATCACAGGCAAGGCAAGGGAAAGATCCACTTGTCACGTTTCGATGCTTAGGATAGTCTTAGATCTTGTGGCTGTGTTGGTGCGGGATATGTGCAGAAGTGGACCAACAGTTACCAAAGGCGAGTCAGCCTCATTGTCTCCACAGATGTTTTTTGACATGGTCTAGATTGTTGATTACATACGGAGAGAAGGAAACGTGGAGGTCGGTCTCATCACATCCCCGAACGTCATCGTAACCGCCGCCAGCAGGGTTTAGTCGAAATTGTCCTGGCTATGGATTTAATAAATCCAGGTGATGATGAAGCTCACTTGCGGCGGTAGGCAACATCATTGGCATATCACACCGTTATGAATCCAAGAATTCATATTGCTCTAGGATCATGCTTGATGCAGGAGCAGGCACGTCGAAACATAAGTTATGGCTTGCCGCTCGGGCAGCAGAGCAAGCCAAGTGGTCTAGGGGTACCCCCGCTGTGGACGACCCGGGTTCTGTTCCGAGTACAAGCAATCAACCCCCCTCCGCATCAGTGGTTTAGCAAACTTGGATGTCGTGTAACCGTCACCCCGAAGGGGTGGGGGTGACGATGGTAAATATGTCAGTTTAGTTTTCGATCGGACAAATTCAACTCGTTGACGAGTGATTGTAATGGTACATCAATGTATGTGCGTGATGTATGCTCTTGTACATGAAACAATCCTAGAAAGTCCAAGGGGTGATTGAAAGCACCTTGGCTGAAGCAGGGTTATTTGTGTATCAGTCTGGTCCTGACGTGACTCTCTGCGTGTAAGAAGCTATTACCCCCCGTATGTACAAGATCACTGGCGCACCTCGGACACCTAGACGGAATAAACACGCATGCTTCAGACCTTCGATCCTTCACTACGAACCATGCGGGTGAACCTGTTCGATCAGGTAAGTGTAATAAGCATAAGCACATAAGTATAAGCACTGTTTCACGAGCGCTGTCCAGGACGTGTTTCCAGGAAAGCGGACACAACTCCACGGTGCTCGATATATATAGTCAATCAAGCCCCTCTAGATCCTGTATATTCACACCCTCAGGGAGATCGGAACTAGCAGCATGGAGTAACATATCACATTCAATCGACCTACTAGCGCGGAACGGAAAGAGACGTACCTGGACCTTACAGATCGAGCGGACCTGATTCAAGTCGTATGCCAGTCTGTCGCCGAGGTCCCCTGCCATGACGCGTCTACCCATATCGCCGGAATGGTTATGCGTGTCACTTACCGCAACAGAGTCAGTTAGCCCAGACGAAGTACTGCTGCATATTTAACACCTTACTTGGTCCTGTACGTTCGGAGACTTGAGCTGCGGGGAATCCTTGTTCATGGAAGGGCTTTCCACCTGGGAAACGTGAGTGGTCAAATTCATATGGAGGGTTAGAAGGGCACGGTACTGCGCTAGATGATCGCTACAGCAGACGGTAGCGGACCCAACTGTGAGTTCAGGATTGAAATGTTGGCGACAAGCTGTGTCACTTCGGCGAGAAGATATGCAAGTGCACGCCGCCTACAAGACCAACACCAACGGTTGCAAGAAACCCAGTTGAGGAGTTTCGGGGGGAGCATGAAACGCAACTATATCGGCCTGGATCATGAGAGTAATATGGACACCTCTCTCACGTAGTTCCCCCTTACGAAACATCGACGAACCCATGATTAGGAGAAAAAAGCAAAGTACAAGGATATGTGTTCGATCCCAATATATGCATACTGGAACTGCGTCTTCAACCATTTAGCAGCAACCCCTAAGTCATGGGCGAACGAACGTCTAGAAGCAATACCCATCATTCTGTCTTCATTGGTTAAGTATCGATTGTCTTTGTGAATATGTTCCACAGTGATCCAATTGACGATACCTGCTGCCAGAACGTCGAAGCGGAGGGAAACGAGGGGGTCGCGAACACGAAACGGGGAGGTACGACACAGGCGATGCGTGAACAGGCGAAGCCTTCCACAAGCGAGGCAGACGGGTGGACGGAGAATATGTACAACAACAACAACAGGGTTGGCGGTGCAATAGATGAGAGAAGCTGGGCCAAGAGTCTCGTCTTCAAACAGGACGGTCTGGTCACTGCATTACACGATACGCTTCCCAGAGAGTAGCCAGTCGATGAAATCTGCAACTTCAGCTTCGTACTCGGTGGTTCTCGATGGATGATTTCTGTATCCAGACTGGTTGTTGTGGTCCGTCTCCTGGCAAATGTGAAGAGACTACTGAGCCCTTGTCGACAGTGTTCCAGAGTAGCTCACAGCGAGTGAAGTCGGGAATCTTGAAGACGGATTACTGGTCGAATACTCCATAGGAATTGTGCTCAAGGCGCAGTACTTGTTCAGAATTCAAGATTCATATTCATCCCTGCATTACGGCGGCACTACATAACCTCACGAAGCTCTCGGTGTGGATAGTGGGTGCATTTCACGCCCATTGTCCAAGATACTTACGGTGTTTTTCATACCAGCGATGCAAATCCCGTGTGCTTTCGTGGACAACCGCAATTTGTGGCCTCTAACATCTCCCGATGCATACACTGATGCATCATCTCTCTCCCCGATGTGACATTGTTAGCACCTCGCGGGCTCCTTGTACGTCTTTCCCGCCCGTTTTCAATTTTGTTCACTGGTTTGTCATGCACTTCACTTTTGCATACTATGGTGCGGGCAAACCAGTACGTCAAGCTCACCTTTGGCACTCTCTTCCAAAGGCTTGCAGGCACGTTCTGGCACGTATCCATTCGGAACTTGTTAAGCGGAGCAGAACACAAGTCGAATGGAAATGGTAGGCATTGATGATTTCGTTGTCGTCGTGCAGACACAGACGCGACACTGTTCACTCATGATGGAAAAGAACGCTTTATAGTACGGCTTTTTACCGGGTCTTAATCGCCCTATGGAGAGTTAGATCGTCATAGAGGGCAGTTGTCTGTGTCTTATTCTTGTACCCTTCTAACATTTGGAACGATTGCAGACAGCCCGACTGCTGGACGGACACTCGCCCAGCAACCATAGATGGCGTCCTGATATCCCTGTCACAGGCCCGTCTACGATGCGTCGCGCACGAAATCAGACGAAGCGAAGAACGGGTACTGACTGACACCCGAGCATGCCCAAGTCCATCCCTGATCGTTTGAATGACGAGCGCTTCCTTGACTACATGAAACTGTCTTTCGTGATGCTCACAGGCCCGGACTATCCTGCCGAAGCCATATAACCTTGTCACCATAATTCCTACAAATGGGACGTGCAAAGCTTGTAAAGGACGCCTCTCTTGAGGGGAGAAGTAATTGAGATCGATCGGGTGCACTGCGACTCATATGTCAGGACCCAAGGTAGTTATACGTATGACCCGACGAACATTCATACAGCTGTTGCTAGGCAAGAACATTCAACACCGTTATGCATCCGAAACTCAATTTCTCGTCAGCATTCCCGCCACCCACCCTCCGACACGTATTCTAGACGCCGTCTCTCCTACCCGCCATTCTGCCATCGGCCTTCTGGGACTGTGAACTGTATCGTTCAACGCGCTGTCTCCGCGACAACACCATCCGTCGTTGAAGACCGACAGACTTTTTGTTACAAATACCCAACCCACCCTTGTCATGGGCGATATTTGGGAGCGAAGAGTAGATTATCGAGCTGGACCCTACATTACCTCCATCCGCCCTTCAGCAGTCACTGCTCCCGATATTGATACAGCCTCTCTGGAAAGCCGTTGTCGACCCACCACTATCGAACCAGGGTAGTTGCCCTGCCGTGTGTATGGAGCCTGCTCCCTTTCGCAGATCTGTGGACTCTATTGTCCAGAGTGCACGATGCCATTCCCAAGTCATACGAACCGTCGCACAGAGGAATCTCCCAGCAAGGACAATTTGTGCCTGGGTAAGATTCTTGTCATGTTTCGTCTTTGATGTATTCACAACTCTCGACTGATGATCGACGATCTTTGGCATGTTCGGTTACTGTCCTGCATCGCATAAATGCATCCCATCGCGAGGGAAGCTTATCTACATACATAGATGGGATTCCTACGAAGTGTACTAACGTGAAACGGCTGGGTTCAATCAGGGTACTACTGTCACAACCTGTGCGTCATCAGCCAAAGGATTGAAAAGGGTACCACAAGAGTCAGACAAGCAGACCATAATAGTTGTTTATGTAGTTCTCCTGCCCATGACGGCGGCCGGCACACGGTTAGGTCAGTGGAGAGACCATTGCAACTAGAGGGAATAGGTGGAACGGACAACCTGTCACTCTCATTGCCTCATGCTTTCGATAAGCTGTGTGAACGTCGACGCCGAGCGCCCGCCGGGTTTAGGATAGATTGCCGTTGAAAGGCATCAGAGCTGGCGTTTACATCTAGTGCTGTACACCATTGTCAAACCTGACCAGCAATCAGCACCAGTCCTCCATTCACCCGTGATCCTACTCTTGAAGCTCGCCACGTGAAAGAATACCCTGTGGGCCCGGCCACCGAGAGTATGTGTGACTACTATTTGATGAGTTGAACATTGCATTGACTCGTGAGGAAGATGAGGTTACTAGACGTGAAAGCTGCTCTCGACCGGGAAACGCACATCCAGCAGGCCGACCCCGAATGTGAAATCCTGAAGGAGCTTGACCATAAAGGCACTCGCTATGCCATACTGTCACATCGCTGGGGCGACGAGGTCGGTTACGAAGAGATGACTGGGCTGATGAAGATGGAGGAGCGGAAGAGGGACGCAGTCAGGCAACGCAACGGCTACCAAAAGATCATCAAGAGCTGCGAGCAGGCCTCGAAGGACGGCTACGAGTTGTTATGGATCGATACCTGTTGCATCGACAAACGGAGCAGTTCAGAATTATTGGAGGCTATTAATTCAATGTATCGATGGTACCAAAATGCACAGGTGTGCTATGCGTACCTCCACGACGTCGATGAGTCGGCCTTCCCTACCGAGCGAGACCGCGACAAGTTCAGCGAGTCCGACGGTTGGCCGGAGTGGTTCATGCGGGGCTGGACACTGCAAGAACTCATCGCGCCGAAGCAGGTCGAATTCTTCAACAAGGACTGGGCGCCCATTGGCAACAAACGACACCTTGCATCTACGTTGGAGTCGGTAACGGGCATTCCTTGGGAAGTTTTGAGGAATGGTCTGGGTGCGAAGCGACTCAGCGTCGCACAAATCATGTCGTGGGCTGCCGGCCGCAAGACGACGCGCGTAGAAGATCGGGCATACTCACTGATGGGATTGTTCCGGGTTAACATGCCCATGTTGTACGGCGAGGGCAAAAAGGCATTCCAGAGGCTACAACTGAAAATCATCCGCGTATCCAGCGATCATAGCATATTCGCATGGAATCCAAGTGGACCGCGGACAGGCAGTGTCCTGGCTGAGGATCCGAGCGACTTTCGGGATAGTAGCTTCATCAAAATAGTGAAACCCGACAAGTTTATTGACAACCTAATGACACTCATTGAACGGAACGCACTCGACGGCCCCTGGCACCCCCAGCATAATTCCAGAACCAACCCGATACATTGGTGCAGAATTGCATGGTTGAGGTGGCGTGCCCGCGCGATCAGCCACCAACTTCGCACAATCTCTGTCACCAGTTCAGGTATCCAAGTGTGTCTGCCCGTCATCCCCTCTCGCGACTCTCCGTCTCATCTCACAGCTATATTGCCATGCGGCTATTTCCCTTTCACCATTGATTTGGTATCCTCTGGATCCAACTTTGAGAGGACTTTTGCAACTGCTCGTCCTTTGGCCCGCCTTACCACATATCCAGAATTCAAGACACTCTATCTTACTTATCATCAAGACGCCAATGAGACACACCGAGAGTTTGCACTCGACGACGAGTATGCCTCATACCACGGATTCGCTCGCTGCGGTACCTACCCGCGCGAGTTTACAGGCGACACCGTTACACTCTCATCTCTTACAGATGATCTCATCGTTATAGTGTATGCCAATGACGACGCCAGGTCTCGCTTTGCAGTCGGCCTCGGATACTACCTCGGCCAAGGATGGGTGCACGTTGTCTATGATGGATGCTCCCCAACTCAGGACTGGACGCCATGGTCAAAATTTGCCTCTGGGGCATATCGGCGAATGTGGGGTGCACGTGCAGAACATGCTCGCAGCATGCCCAAACAAGAACACAACGATGAACGCCGTCGCAATGACCACTTCATTAAACATGTCCACCTTCCCCGATCAATCTGGGCTGCCAGGATAGTCTGGGGTAGGTGGGAGATGGACAATTTCAGGATCATGGTTGATGTCGAGCAATGTCCTGGTTGTTGTGATGGGCCACATCATGGGCAACGACATTCGTTGGTACTTTTCCTCCCGCGTGCACGCACACCTAATCATTTGTGGTAACATAGAACGAACACTGTGGCCTTGATATGCCGGGGTTCATGGATAACAATCGCTATCCATATGAGTTGAGGCTGAATGGCTGGCGGGCTCAGTTTGCCAAGTGTTCCGGTCTACGGATTACGGTGAGTCATGTTATGCATACTATGCCTGCCGTGGACACTGATATACCCAGCTGGGTGATTATGGTGACAATTCCGATGGCAACTTCAAATGCACTGGCAATATATTTGAGGATATGCGGACCCTTGGCGACATTGATCCCACAGAATCCGTTTATCGTCCCGTGGTCCGACGTGTATCCGGCTCCGAATGGCTAATACGTCGCGCGGAGAATCGCACTGAGCTTGCTCTGGCGTATCATACTAGTACTGAGGGCAAACACCTAGTTCTGCGTCAGCCAAAGGGCCTAGGGCTTCCTGCGAATGAACATATTGAACTACTGCTGAAAGACCTGGCCATCCGTCTTGCAGGAAAACATTTAGTGACATCGGTCATACAATGTTCAGGTTTGTACGATGTTGATAATGGCGGGGAGGCAAGGGACTCGGGTGACGGTGAGTTTTCCGCGACATGCGTGTCCTGTTCTCCTTTTGACATTGCCAGACTCGACACTCGACAGTGATAGCCATTCCACCGAACCTGGGATTTTGACTCCACTATATATCGTCGTAAGTCCACAAGTTTGGCAAAGAGAAATGCCTTGTGTACAGAGAAGGGAACAATTTAAAAGTATCCGGTAAACCAATGGAATCAGTATGTGAGGTGGTACTGACGAGGCTTCGTTTCGGGATGTAGGGAGCACTTTTACGACCTCATGAATATGGTGCCTTCCATTTTCGCACTTGGTTCGTCTGTACTGATGTTATCTGCAGCATCAACCTGCGGGAATCGAAGTCCGTCTCCAGTCTGTGGTGCATTGGAAAACTGTGCGAACCTCAAACATACACTTCGGATGGCATCAGAACAGGCGACGGAAAGACGGAGCGATCAAGTTCTTCTCAGACATGTTTTGTCTCCACCATCTGAGTAATTACGTCTGTACCGATACTTTCATTGCTTCGTCCAGCTCACACTCATCATTGAATCCAGGTCGGCAAAATATTATTCTTTGAAAGGCTTCCCTCGATGATGGAAAGTGATTCACTCAGCGAGGTTTCTGCAGGCAGTGCGGAAGGTCTGTTTGCCACACTAAGCATGTTTGTCTGTAGACTTACATTGCGGCCTCAGAGGATGGGTTACTAGCACGCGCACCAAAATTGTCGTGCGCCGACTGGATGATGACGTGTAGCCTATTTAAGGGCAGCTGGCAATCCAGTACTACGCTGGACCCACACCTTGAAGTCGTGTTGCCTGTGTTATGCAAGCGGTGCCACACTCTTTCCGCAAGGAGTGACGCACCACGTCGGTATGCTAATCAAATGCAAAAAGTGGAGCGCGAGTTGAAGTCCATATCGCAGACTCTGAGTGCTGATGTAGGTGTTTCCATTTGCAAAAAAGAATTGGGGGTGATTCTAACCACATAAAGCTACTCCAACACATACTTCGTGTCTTCCGCAATGCATACTTTGGACATGCATTGTCGTGAGTAATCTTATTGCCTCAAATCGTTTCCTTTTTCTTCTATTCATCGGTTCCTGCTCCAGAGAGACATCTCAAGCGAGCTGCATTGAATATGATAGGTCAGCACCATATCTACTAGCATTCAGCAGTTCACGTCTCGAACACGATATGTAGGCAACTCGACATTCCTTCGATGATTAAAGAAGTACAGGCTCTCCAAGCGAAACTCGATGCAACGGTGGATGAGGATGAGCAGCGAGCGCTGGAGGAGGACGTCACAGGCAAGGCAAGGGCAACGTCAACCTGTCACGTTTTTGATGCTCAGGATAGTCTTAGATCTTGTGGCTGTGTTGGTGTGGGATATGTGCGGAAGTAGACCAACTGTTACCAAAGGCGAGTCAACCCCATTGTCTCCGCAGATGTCGTTTGACATGGTTCAGGTTGTGAATTACATTCGGCGAGAAGGAAATATGAAGGTCAGTTCCATCATATGCCCGAACGTTGTCGTAACCGCTGTTATCAGGGTTTAAGGGAGATTTCTCTGATGATGTATCTGTTCATGTTTGTAGACCCAGATGACAATCTAACTCACTTGCATCGGTAGGCGACCACATGGCCCCTATATGAATTGCTAAACCTACTGCGTTTTAGGATCATGCTTGATGGGGGAGTAGGGACGTCAAAACATCGGCTGTGGCTTGCCGCTCAGACTGCAGAGCAAGCCAAGTGGTCAGGTGCGACCAAGGTCACCACTGCTATGGATAACCAAGGTCCCACTGCGAGCACAAGCACTCAATCCCCCTCCACATCATTGGTTTAGCAAACACGTGTATTGGTAAGCTTGTCCTTGATTTTGCTGGGATAAGTTCAGCTCGTTGATGAGTGATGACGATCGTGATAGTAACGGGGATGAGGCAGCCAATACGCGCTGACTTGGTACCGTAACAAATTTCCTTTCCCGACGTTGTAACGATAGGTCAATCTACGCGATGTCACCTTTTGTACAAGAACGCATGAAAGAGAATCCGAGGGGCAATTGCAAGTACGATCACCGTCTGATTCGTTTTGTATCGGGTAACGTGCAATCATTATGTATGTAGCTCCTTGACTTCAAGTGCAATGAGCTGTTATGTCGATCACTGGTATCGGTACAAGTCGATGAGCATGACAGTGCACCTCCAACGGTTTGCGTTGCGCCACCGTCCGTCAATCAGGTTCAGAGAGTGAATGAGCTGCTGCCGTAGGAACAGAGAATCGAGCTCTGGTGGAGCGTTTTCACAGTCCCATCAACTAAAGTAGGTTGTCAAGACTAACATAACATCCTATGTGGGCATCGTGTCGGTATCTCTTTCGCTGGCACTCAACATGGGTACCACACATGTAATGGCCTAACAGTGCCGGAGGCGAGGAGATTTACATCGGGCGCTGAAGCTGGCCACCACTAGTGTACAGAGGGGATAACAGTGATCCGCGTCGTCGTTTGGAGGCGGTGTAAGCAAGTCGGGGCATGTTCGATTCCATCGCTTTAGTAATACCTAGACACGATGAAGATGTATGTTCTGGTCCTTCGTTTCTTGGTTGCGAATCATGCGGGTGAACATGTTCTGTCAGGTAAGTGTAATATACAAAAACACACGTATAACCACACTGTTCCACGAGCGCTGTCCAATGCAAATGTTCAATCAAGCCCCTCCAGATACCCCGAAATGACACCTTCAGGGAGATCAAAACCGACAGTACGGAGTAACACAGCGAACTTGAGAGCAGTCACACTCAATCGACCTGTTGGTGACACGCGAGACAGAAAGAGGCGAAGCTGGCCCAAGTCGTATCCCAGTTGGTTGCTGAGCACGACGCGTCTCGAGGTCTCCGGGAGTAGTCATGGGTGTTGTGGTACACGGGGTGAGCAACTGAAAGCAGTAGAGTTAGTCGGCCCAGACGGTGTACTACTGGGTGTTTAACATCTTACTTGGTCCTGTACGTTCGGAGAGTTGAGTTTCAGGAATTCGCAATCCTTGTTCATGCAAAGACTTTCATCAGGGGAATACGAGTGTCCATAATCACACAGAAGGGTTGGGAAGGACACGCTATCCCACCTAATGATCGCTCCGCAAAGAGTGGTCAACCCAACTGTGGGTAAATGTTGGCGACAAACTTACGATTGTGGGAAGCCCAGTTGAGGAAGTTCGTAGGGAACATGGTGCACAAGCATTCTGCCTGAATCATGAGAATGATATCCGCACCTCTCACACGTAGTTCCCCCTTACGAATCATCGACGAGTCTGTGATTTGGAGAAAATAGCAACGTACTAGCATATGCCTATTGATCCCAATAACCCTCGGTCTTCTCCGGAAAAGGCAACTAGTTCGACGTCACCCCCAAAGGTTATACCGCTTCAGTTTATCCGTCGTGCGGTGATGTTGAGAATTGTGATTGTTCCTGAACCGTCGTCGTTTCCGCCTGGTGCCTAGGAAGTGGAGCATGTTTGAGGGAACCGACAATGTAAGTTCCCACTCACGCATTCCATACCGAAAGAGCCACAGGAATCATATTAGTGTCTGGAGATTTCCTAAACGACATTGAGTGCAAAACCCTCTACGAACGGCGTGAACCTGCATGCTTCACCGGTATCCTCGAACTGTGTCTTCAACCACTCTGGAGCGACCCTCGAACAATGGTGGAACAAATGTCTAGAAGCAATGCCTGACGCATACCAACAGGTCAATTAAGTACGACCCCTCAAGTTCGTTACGTTACTCCATGCTGCCGATTTCGATTTCCCTGAAGGCATCAATGTAGAGCGTTTGGAGAAGCTTGATTGAATATTGTATCGCGCGTGTAGTGACGTCACGAGTGCGGAAACCCAGTCGAGGACGTTCATCGCGAGCATGGCACACAAGCATACCTGGCTGGATCATGAGAGTGATATTCACGCCTTTCTCACACAGTTCCCCCCTACCAAGCATCACCAGGACCGTAAATCATCGATGAATCCGTGACTTGGAGAAAAGGTAACATACTGGTGCATGCCTTTGATCCCAATAAGCCTTGTGCTTCACTAGCAAAGGCAACTTGTTCAACGTTGCTCCTCGAGGTTATTTTTATCCATCATGCGATGTTGAGAATCGAGATCGTTTCTGACCGGTACCTGGGAAATGGAGTATGTTTGAGGGAACTAACAACACCTGTAAAGATTGCAACTCACGCGTTCTATACTAGAAGAACCACGGGAATCGTAGTGTGCGGAGATAAGTACGGTATCAGAACTTTCCGTCTTAGCATCAGATCGGCTGCAGTTCAGCGTCAGAACATTACACCATGAACCTCGTGATGACGCGGAAGTTTACCAAACGACATTGAGTGCGAAGCCCTCCAAGAACGGTATGCACCTGCACACCCCATACGCATCCTCGAACTGTATCTCCAACGCCTTGGTAGCAACCCACAAGCCATGGTGGCACGAATGTTTGGAGACAATGCCCGACGATCCGTCTTCGTTAGCAAGGTATCGGATGGCATCTGTTCCACAAAGATTCCGTTGACGGTGCCTACTTCCAGAGCGGTGAAACAGAGGGAAACAAGGGGGTTGTGAATGCGCTCGGTTGCAGTGAGAAATTGGAGTGTACGATACAGGCGAAATGTTCCGGAAGCGAAGTAGACGAGTGGACAGAGGATACGTACAACGACAACCCTGGAGTTGACGATGCAGTAGACAAAAACTGGGCCAGACTACTCGTCTTCAAACAGGACAGTCTGACCTTCGGGATGTGCGATAAGCTACTCAGAGGCCAACCAGTCGACAAAATCGGCGACTTCAGCTGCACTCGCGCGTCCGGAAGGACCTGTCGATGGATGACTCCTGTATCCAGACTAGTTGCTGTGGCCCACTGACGCTCTAGCAACTGCAAAGGGACTACCGAACCATCGTCAACGAAAATACATGGGGAGTGGCTCAAAGGAAGTGAAGTCGGGGATCTTGAAGACGGACCACTGGCCGAACGTTGCATATAGTAGAAATTGTTAGCAAGACACAGTGGATTGTAGAGCGACAGGCATCGCTGGGTCTGACCTGGATGTGTTGGTAGTACCAGTCCAGTGGGGTCGAGTCTGGTTTGCCCCACAGCGGTAGCACATACGTTACAGTCTTACCGATACCTGAAGTCATACACCAGTGCGTATACATGGGCCTTCCCGGCCCCGGCTCCACTTTGCAGTCATTAGTACGTGGGTGAAACGGCTCAAACGTGCACTGAAACTAGCATGTGCACCTGCAACTCTCGGTGGCAAGCATTACGCAGTCCACCCCATTGCAACATCAATTACTTCAACGAAGGACTCCACTAGGAACAAGTTGGCCGGTGGAACAGTGGTAAGCTGAGGTCGAGGCAAGCGATGAGACCTGTACTGAACACTTTCCCATCACCTCTTTCTTCGAATCGCCACCTGCCAGTGGGCTCGTCGCCTCGCCCACTCTGCATCGCCCACTCGTTTTCTCCTTTTGCCCACCCTCCGCACCCGCATTTCATAAATTCAGGTGTTATTTTCCTTTTCTGTTTCCTCAGTCGCTGTTATGACCACATGCCGGACACCATTTCCTCGTTAGCCACTATCGCATGCCCAGCTCAACCACTGACAGAGCTTAATGCGACATGCGCGAGACGAAGCTGGATTATCTTCCACCAGACATGTGAAGCACTTCGTGTAGAGGGTGCGCACATTCCACGCCAACTACCAGCGATACGCCACCCATAAGCTTGTATACAACAGATTACCACAGTTCTCAGCCTCTCCCGGTGCGTTCACAGATGCGTCCATTACATGCCGGTTGCTCCTTGGTATGATCATTCAACACCCTTGTGTACTCGAAACTTGATGCATCGTAGCGGTCCAGCACTCCTTCGACCCACCCTTCGGCACGTCTTCCAGCTGTTGTCTCTCCTGTAGGCCAGTCTATCATCCACCTTCTGACGGGGTACCATACCGCTGAATGCATTGCATTCTGGACAGGGCCAGCCGTCGTTGAAGACCAACAAATTTTTTGTCACATTATCGACGCCCGCCATTCAGTGGCCAAGCTTTTTATATTGATAACGTCTCCTTCGGAAAATGATGTCAGAGTCAAAGCACGAAGAGTCGGACACCCTGAGTATGCACCGCTGGCCCACTATTCTATAGAAACTGTTCGCAAGACACGGTGGAATGTTGGGACGAACGTCCGACGCACGCAGAATGACGAGCAGAGCGACGTGCATCGCTGGGTTCGGAATCATCCCGTCTGAATAGGATGCATAGGTGTCACAACCTGAAACAACCACATCGAAGTACAAACATTTCACTCCTTGCCTGTCAAGCCGGCAGCTTCTATCGACTTCATTGGCACCATTAGCATTTATCCACCGGGAACTTGCCGAGCGGAATCGCATGAAAATGGCGCACAGATAGGCATTGAAGTCTTCGTTGTCGGGAATGCAGACGCGGACGAGACGCTGCGCACTGATGTTGATGTTAGAAATGACCGCTCGATGGTGTGGCCTTCCCTGGGTCTTAATCGTCCTATGGAAAGTCGGATCGTCATGTGGGGTAGCTGTCTGAATCTCATTCTCGTATTCTTCTAACATCCAGAATGATCGCAGACAATGCGACTGCTGGTTGGATGCTCACCTAGTGACCGTAGATCGAGATATGCTCATCAAAGGCCCATCTACGACGAGTCACGCACGAAATCCGACAATGTGAAGATCGGGTACTGACTCACACACGACCATACCCAAGTCCATCCCTGAACGTTTGAGTGATGAACGTTTCCTCAACCACTTCAAGAAAATGTCTCTCGGGATGCTCACAGAACCGAAGTACTCCACAGAAGCTTTACAACCTTGCCACCATAATACGCACGAGCGAAAGTCGCAGATTTTGAGACGGTTCAGATGCACTGCGATTCATACGTTGAGGACCTGAGCCTGTATTTGTTATACGGGTTCGCCTCGCCAACGTTCATACCAGTTGTTGCTGGGCAAGAGCGTCGAACACTGTTGCATCCCGAACCTCGATGGTTCGTCAACGGTTGAACATTCCTTCAGCACGTCTTCCAGCTATCATCTCTCCTGTGGGCTGGTCTACCGGGAAACCATATCGTTCACCGTGCTCTCTCCCGGACAAGTCGGTCCGGCGCTAATAGATATTTTGTCATAATACGTTAATCCACCCTTGTTACGAGGAGAGGTATACGGGAGCGAACGAGCACGTCGAGCCGGACTCTACATTACCTACGTCCGCCCTTCACCAATCATTGCTCCTGATATTGATAAAGTCTCCCTCGGACAACGTTGTAAATCTTGTCACTATCCCCCTCAGCTATCATGGCATCTCAAAACCTCGTGCCAAGGGAGCCCGGGAAGTCGCCCTTCCGCGTTTACCTGGGTTTCTCCCTCTCGCAGATCTGTGCCCTTTAGTGTTCAGAGCACACGATGCCATTCCCCGCTAATCCGGAAGTGTTGCACAGAGGAACTTCGCAACAAGGGCAATTGGTGCCTCAGCGAACTGCTTGTCATGCATCATGGTTCGTCGTATTCACATCTCCCAACTGATGATCGATGATCTTTAGCATGTCTGGTTACCGTCTCGTATCGCGCCAATGCATCCCATTGCGAGGGAAGCGTGCCTCAAGCCGTGATTTAGTAGACTGATGGGTCAGTAATAGATATGTATACCCTCACGTGGGGTCACTACTGTGCTGCAAACCCTGCGACCTTGATCGACTCAATTTTTGGATTGCCATCCAGGGGGCAAATCGGTGACGTGACATACATGGGAGGGCTGCTACAAAATGTACTAGCATCAGGCTGCCGCATTCAGTGGGTGGGCTGCTCCTGGAACCATGCACAATTCGTATGCTGTCAACAAAGAAATTTGTAGGGTACCACTACAGTGCCACCCAATGTCAGGCATTCCATACGACAACTGCTTGCGCCAGTACTGCTATTGGGATCGCAAATGGCTCCGCCAGTGGAGACACAGGAGATCCTAGAGTGTCTCGTTGCCTCATGTTCTCGATCAGCTGTGTAATTGTCAACATCGAGCGCCCGCCGCCACCGGGTTTAGGGTACTTTTTCACATAGCCATTGAATAGCCACAAACCTGGTGCTCAAATCCAATGCTGTACTCCCTCATACTTAAAACCTGTGACCAGCAACCAGTATCAGCGTTCCATTTGCCTTCCGTCGTACACTCGAAGCTGAGCACCTGGAAGAATAGCCTGTGGGCTCGGAGTATGTGTGATATCTAGTCAACATTTTGGACATTGCGTTGACTCGTGAAGATGAGGTTACTAGACGTGACAGCGGTTCTCGACCGAGAAATGCACATCGAGCAGACCAATCCGAAACGTGAAGTACTGAAGGAGCTCGACGACAAAGGTACTCGTTATGTGATTCTATCACATCGCTGGGGCGCAGAGGTCGGTTACGAAGAGATGACCGGGCTGATGAAGATGGAGAAGGGTGAGAGGGAAGAGGTCAGGCAGCGCACCGGCTACCAAAAGATCATCAAGAGCTGTGAACAAGCGAGGAAGGATGGACACAAGTGGTTGTGGATCGATACCTGCTGCATCGACAAGCGGAGCAGTTCGGAATTATCAGAGGCCATTAATTCGATGTATCGGTGGTACCAAAATGCACAGGTGTGCTATGCGTACCTCCACGACGTTGATGAGTTGGTCTTCCCTACCGAGCGAGACCGCGACAAGTTCAGCGAGTCCTACGGTTGGCCGGAGTGGTTCATGCGGGGCTGGACACTGCAAGAACTCGTCGCGCCGAAGCAGGTCGAATTCTTCAACAAAGACTGGGCGTCCATTGGCAACAAACGACACCTTGCATCTACGTTGCAGCATGTAACGGGTATTCCTTGGGAAGTTTTGAGGGATGGTCCGGCTGCGAAGCGTCTCAGCGTCGCACAAATCATGTCGTGGGCTGCCGGCCGTAAGACGACGCGTGTGGAAGATCGGGCATACTCACTGATGGGGTTGTTCAGGGTTAACATGCCCATGTTGTACGGCGAGGGCAAAAAGGCATTCCAGAGGCTACAACTGAAAATCATCCGCGTATCCAGCGATCATAGCATATTCGCATGGAATCCAAGTGAACCGCGGACAGGCAGTGTCCTCGCAGATGATCCGAGCGACTTTCGGTATAGTAGATTCATCGAAAAAGTGAAACCCGATGAATTCATTGACAACCTAATGACACTCATTGAACGGAACGCACTCGACGGCCCCTGGCACCCCCAGCATAAGTCCAGAACCAACCCGATACATTGGTGCAGAATTGCATGGTTGAGGTGGTGTGCCCGCGCGATCAGCCACCGACTTCGCACAATCTCTGTCACCAGTTCAGGTATCCAAGTGTGTCTGCCCGTCATCCCCTCTCGCGACTCTCCGTCTCATCTCAGAGCTATATTGCCATGCGGCTATTTCCCTTTCACCATTGATTTGGTATCCTCTGGATCCAACTTTGAGAGGACTTTTGCAACTGCTCCCATTTCGGCCCCCCTTACCACATATCCAGAATTCAAGACACTCTATCTTACTTATCATCAAGACGCCAATGAGACACACCGAGAGTTTGCACTCGACGACGAGTATGCCTCATACCATGGATTCACTCGCTGCGGTACCTACCCGCGCGAGTTTACAGGCGACACCGTTACACTCTCATCTCTTACAGATGATCTCATCGTTATAGTGTATGCCAATGACGACGCCAGGTCTCGCTTTGCAGTCGGCCAAGGATGGGTGCACGTTGTCTATGATGGATGCTCCCCAACTCAGAACTGGATACCGTGGTCAGATTTTGCCCTTGTAGCATATTATCGATTGTGGGGTGCACGTGCAGAACATGCTCGGAGCATGCCCAAACAAGACCACAATGATGCATGCCGTCGCAATGACCACTTCATTAAACATGTCCACCTTCCCCGATCAATCTGGGCTGCCAGGGTAGTCTGGGGTAGGTGGGAGATGGACGATTTCAGGATCATGGTTGATGTCGAGCAATGTCCTGGTTGTTGTGATGGGCCACATCGATGGGCAACGACATTTGTTGGTACTTTTCCTCCTGCGTGCACGCAGACCTAATCATTTGTGGTAACATAGAACGAACACTGTGGCCTTGATACGCCGGGGTTCATGGATACCAATCGCTATCCATATGAGTTGAGGCTGAATGGCTTGCGGGCCCAGTTTGCCAAGTGTTCCGGTCCACGGATTACGGTGAGTCATGCTATGCATACTCATGCCTGCGTCGACACTGATATAACCAGCTGGGTGATTATGGTGACAATTCCGATAGCAACTTCAAATGCACTGGCAATATATTTGAGGATATGCGGACCCTTGGCAACATCGATCCCACAGAATCCGTTTATCGTCCCGTGGTCCGACGTGTATCCGGCTCCGAATGGCTAATATGTCGCGCGGAGAATCGCACTGAGCTTGCTGTGGCGTATCATACTAGTACTGAGGGCAAACACCTAGCTCTGCGTCAGCCAAAGGGCCTGGGGCTTCCTGCGAATGAACATTTTGAGCTACTGCTGAAAGACCTGGCCATCCGTCTTGCAGGAAAGCATTTAGTGACATCGGTCATACAATGTTCAGGTTTGTACGAAGTTGATAATGGCGGGGAGGCAAGGGACTCGGGTGACGGTGAGTTTTCTGCGACATGCGTGTCCTGCTCTCCTTTTGACATTATCAGACTCGACACTCGACATTGATAGCCATTCCACCGAGCCTGGGATTTTAACTCCACTATATATCGTCGTAAGTCCACAAGTTTGGCAAAGAGAAATGCCTTGTGTACAGAGAAGGCAACAATTCAAGAGTATCCGGTAAACCCATGGAATCAGTATGTGAGGTGGTACTGACGAGGCTTCGTTTCGGGATGTAGGGAGCACTTTTACGACCTCATGAATATGGTGCCTTCCATTTTCGCACTTGGTTTGTCTGTACTGATGTTATCTGCAGCATCAACCTGCGGGAACCGAAGTCCGTCTCCAGTCTGCAGTGCATTGGAAAACTGTGCGAACCTCAAACATACACTTAGGATGGCATCAGAACAGGCGACGGAAAGACAGAGCGATCAAGTTCTTCTCAGACATGTTTTGTCTCCACCGTCTGAGTAATTACGTCTGTACCGATACTTTCATTGCTTCGTCCAGCTCACACTCATCATTGAATCCAGGTCGGCAAAATATTATTCTTTGAAAGGCTTCCCTCGATGATGGAAAGTGATTCACTCAGCGAGGTTTCTGCAGGCAGTGCGGAAGGTCTGTTCCCCTAACTAAGCGGGTTTGCCTGGTTTGTCTGCAGACTTACGTTGCGACCTCAGAGGATGGTTTACTAACACGCACACCAAAATTGTCGTGTGCCGACTGGGTGATGATGTGTAACCTATTTAAGGGCAGCTGGCAATCCAATGCTACGCAGGACCCACACCTTGAAGTCGTGTTGCCTGCGTTATCCAAGCGATGCCACACTCTTTCGAGGGATGACGCGCGGCGTCGGTATGCTAATGAAAGGCAAAAAGTGGAGCGCGAGTTGAAGTCCATATTGCAGACTCTGAGTGCTGATGTACGTGTTTCTATTGGCAAAAAAGAATTGGGGCTGATTCTAACCACATAAAGCTACTCCAACACATACTTCGTGTCTTCTTCGATGCATATTTTGGACACCAGTACTCGTGAGTAATCTTATTACCTCAAATTGTTTCATTTTTCTTCTATTCATTGCTTCGTGGCTCCAGAAGGACACTTCAACCGAGCGACATTGAATATGACGGGTCAGCACCATATCTACTAACATTCGGCAGTTCACATCTCGAACACGATCTGTAGGCAACTCGACATTCCTTCGATGATAAAAGAGGTGGAAGTTCTCCAAGCGAAACTTGATGCAACGGTGGACGAGGATGAGCAGCGAGCACTGGAGGAAGACGTGACAGGCAAGGCAAGGGCAAATATCAACTTGACTTGTTTCGATGCTCAGGATAGTCTTAGATCTTGTGGCTGTGTTGGTGCGGGATATGTGCAGAAGTAGACCAACTGTTACCAAAGGCGAGTCAACCCCATTGTCTCCACAGTTGTCATTTGACATAGTTCAGGTTGTGGGTTACATTCGGAGAGAGGGAAATATGAAGGTCAGCTCAATCACATACCTGAGCGTCATCGTAAACGCCGTCAACAGGGTTTAGTGACAATTGCCCTCATTACGTGTTCAACAGACCCAGGTGATGATCAAGCTCACTTGCAGCGGTAAGCAATATCATTGGCATATCACACCGTTATGAATCCAAGAATTCATATTGCTCTAGGATCATGCTTGATGCAGGAGCAGGCACGTCGAAACATAAGTTATGGCTTGCCGCTCGGGCAGCAGAGCTAGCCAAGTGGTCAGGCGTGACCAGGCTTACCACGGCTATGGACAACCAAGGTTCCACTGCGAGCACAAGCACTCAACCCCTCTCCACATCAGTGGTTTAGCAAACATGGGTATTGGTAAGCTTGTCCTTGATTTTGCCCGGATAAATTCAGTTCGTTGACGAGTGATGACGATCGTGATAGTAACGGGGTGAGGCAGCCAATACGCGCTGACTTGGTACTGTAACAAATTTCCTTTCCCGACGTTGTAATGATAGATCAATCTACGCGATGTCACCTTTTGTACTAGAACGCATGAAAGAGAATCCGAGGGGCAATTGCAAGTACGATCACCGTCTGATTCGTTTTGTATCGGGTAACGTGCAATCATTATGTATGTAGCTCCTTGACTTCAAATGCAATGAGCTGTTATGTCAATCACTGGTATCGGTACAAGTCGATGAGCATGACAGTGCACCTCCAACGGTTTGCGTTGCGCCACCGTCCGTCAATCAGGTTCAGAGAGTGAATGAGCTGCTGCCGTAGGAACAGAGAATCGAGCTCTGGTGGAGCGCTTTCACAGTCCCATCAACTAAAGTAGGTTGTCAAGACTAACATAACATCCTATGTGGGCGTCGTGTCGGTATCTCTTTCGCTGGCACTCAACATGGGTGCCACACATGTAATGGCCTAACAGTGCCGGAGGCGAGGAGATTTACATCGGGCGCTGAAGCTGGCCACCACTAGTGTACAGAGGGGATAACAGTGATCCGCGTCGTCGTTTGGAGGCGGTGTAAGCAAGTCGGGGCATGTTCGATTCCATCGCTTTAGTAATACCTAGACACGATGAAGATGTATGTTCTGGTCCTTCGTTTCTTGGTTGCGAATCATGCGGGTGAACATGTTCTGTCAGGTAAGTGTAATATACAAAAACACACGTATAACCACACTGTTCCACGAGCGCTGTCCAATGCAAATGTTCAATCAAGCCCCTCCAGATACCCCGAAATGACACCTTCAGGGAGATCAAAACCGACAGTACGGAGTAACACAGCGAACTTGAGAGCAGTCACACTCAATCGACCTGTTGGTGACACGCGAGACAGAAAGAGGCGAAGCTGGCCCAAGTCGTATCCCAGTTGGTTGCTGGGCACGACGCGTCTCGAGGTCTCCGGGAGTAGTCATGGGTGTTGTGGTACACGGGGTGAGCAACTGAAAGCAGTAGAGTTAGTCGGCCCAGACGGTGTACTACTGGGTGTTTAACATCTTACTTGGTCCTGTACGTTCGGAGAGTTGAGTTTCAGGAATTCGCAATCCTTGTTCATGCAAAGACTTTCATCAGGGGAATACGAGTGTCCATAATCACACAGAAGGGTTGGGAAGGACACGCTATCCCACCTAATGATCGCTCCGCAAAGAGTGGTCAACCCAACTGTGGGTAAATGTTGGCGACAAACTTACGATTGTGGGAAGCCCAGTTGAGGAAGTTCGTAGGGAGCATGGTACACAAGCATTCTGCCTGGATCGTGAGAATGATATTCGCACTTCTCACACGTAGTTTCCCCCTTACGAATCATCGACGAATCAGTGATTTGGAGAAAATAGCAACGTACTGGTATATGCATTCGATCCCAATAACCCTCGTGCTTCCCAGGAAAAGGCAACTAGTTCAACGTCACCCCCAAAGGTTATACCGCTTCACTTTAACCGTCGTGCAGTGCTGTTGAGAATCGAGATTGTTCCTGAACCGTCGTCGTTTCCGCCCGGTGCCTAGGAAGTGGAGCATGTTTGAGGGAACCAACAACGCAAGTTCCCACTCACGCGTTTCATACCGAAGGAGCCACAGGAATCATAGTGTCTGGAGATTTCCCAAACGACATTGAGTGCGGAACCCTCCACAAACAGCATGAACCTGCATGCTTCACCGGCACCCTCGAACTGTGTCTTCAACCACTCTGGAGCGACCCTCGAACAATGGTGGAACGAATGTCTAGAGGCAGTGCCTGACGTATACCAACAGGTCAATTAAGTACGACCCCTCAAGTTCGTTACGTTACTCCATGCTGCCGATTTCGATTTCCCTGAAGGCATCAATGTAGAGCGTTTGGAGAAGCTTGATTGAATATTGTATCGCGCGTGTAGTGACGTCGCGAGTGCGGAAACCCAGTCGAGGACGTTCATCGCGAGCATGGCACACAAGCATACCTGGCTGGATCATGAGAGTGATATTCACGCCTTTCTCACGCAGTTCCCCCCTACCAAGCATCACCAGGACCGTAAATCATCGATGAATCCGTGACTTGGAGAAAAGGTAACATACTGGTGTATGCCTTTGATCCCAATAAGCCTTGTGCTTCACCAGCAAAGGCAACTTGTTCAACGTTGCTCCTCGAGGTTATTTTTATCCATCATGCGATGTTGAGAATCGAGATCGTTTCTGACAGGTACCTGGGAAATGGAGTATGTTTGAGGGAACTAACAACACCTGTAAAGATCGCAACTCACGCGTTCTATACTAGAAGAGCCACGGGAATCGTAGTACGCGGAGATAAGTACGGTATCAGAACTTTCCGTCTTAGCATCAGATCGGCTGCAGTTCAGCATCAGAACATTACACCATGAACCTCGTGATGACGCGGAAGTTTACCAGACGACATTGAGTGCGAAGCCCTCCGAGAACGGTATGCACCTGCACACCCCATATGCATCCTCGAACTGTATCTCCAACGCCTTGGTAGCAACCCACAAGCCATGGTGGCACAAGTTTCTGGAGACAATGCCCGACGATCCGTCTTCGTTAGCAAGGTATCGGATGTCCTTGAGCATCTGTTCCACAAAGATTCCGTTGACGGTGCCTACTTCCAGAGCGGCGAATCAGAGGGAAACAAGGGGGTCGTGAACGCGCTCGGTTGCAGTGAGAAATTGGAGTGTACGATACAGGCGAAACGTTCTGGAAGCGAAGCAGACGAGTGGACAGAGGATACGTACAACGACAACCCTGGAGTTGACGATGCAGTAGACAAAAACTGGGCCAGACTACTCGCCTTCAAACAGGACAGTCTGACCTTCGGGATGCGCGATAAGCTACTCAGAGGCCAACCAGTCGACAAAATCGGCGACTTCAGCTGCACTCGCGCGTCCGGAAGGACCTGTCGATGGATGACTCCTGTATCCAGACTAGTTGCTGCGGCCCACTGACGCTCTAGCAACTGCAAAGGGACTACCGAACCATCGTCAACGAAAATGGGGAGTGGCTCAAAGGAAGTGAAGTCGGGGATCTTGAAGACGGACCGCTGGCCGAATATTGCATATAGTAGAAATTGTTAGCAAGACACAGTGGAGTGTAGAGCGACAGGCATCGCTGGGTCTGACCTGGATGTGTTGGTAGTACGTCCAGTGGGGTCGAGTTTACCGATACCTGAAGTCATACACTGCGTATACATGGGCCTTCCCGGCACCAGCTCCACTTTGCAGTCGTTAGTACGTGGGTGAAACGGCTCAAACGTGCACTGAAACTAGCATGTACACCGAGAGTTTGCACTCAACGACGAGTATGCTTCGTACCATGGATTCACTCGCTGCGGTACCTACCCGCGCGAGTTTACAGGCGACACTGTTACACTCTCATCATCAGGAAGCGAGAAAATGGTTCAAACCTGTTTAAACCTGTCACTGACTGGTCGTGACTGCGATTCCGTCATTCCCTGTCTCTCTGATGATCCCTTACAGATGATCTCATCGTTATAGTGTATGCCAATGACAACGCCAGGTCTCGCTTTGCAGTCGGCCTTGCATACTACCTCGGCCAAGGATGGGTGCACGTTGTCTATGATGGATGCTCCCCAACTCAGGACTGGATACCGTGGTCAGATTTTGCTCATGGAGCATATTATCGATTGTGGGGTGTACGTGCAGAACATGCTCGGAGCATGCCCAAACAAGACCACAATGATGAACGCCGTCGCAATGACCACTTCATTAAACATGTCCACCTTCCCCGATCAATCTGGGCTGAGGGTAGTCTGGGGTAGGTGGGAGATGGACAATTTCAGGATCATGGTTGATGTCGAGCAATGTCCTGGTTGTTGTGAT